TGGGCGTCCTGGACGCTCTGAAGACGGAGAGGGCGAAAAGGAACAGTCCCCGAGTTCGCAATGAATTTCTTCAATTCTTGACGCTGTCAGAGAGGCCCATCAAGGTAACTTGGGAGGACAACGATATGCGTCAACGTCTGGCAGCGGCGAGGCTTGCAGGGTGGCACGAGGGACTCAACTGCCGTTGGCTGTGCATTGGGTGCTGGGTGGAGAGCCTCGAGAAGCAAGGCACTGACGCCCCCGCAGGAAACACGATGCGCGAAAAGCGGGCCAACCTACGGAATAGCATGCCCAGCAGGCCCGCAGCTGTCAGTCTGACACCGCTTGTGCACCTCCCAACCGGGCTTGCCAAAATCGCAAACCCAACCGCCGAGTGTTTGCTACGCGACCTCCTTCTCACACCGGAATCAACCAACGACCCCAAGGCGACAGGCGTACCGAATCCCCCAATCCGACCTGACGACGACCTCTTCGGCACAGAGGGACTCAAGTCTGGGATCTACAGTGCAACGTGCGACGGCTGCACAGAGCCCAAGCTGCTGTACACCTGGAAACACGGGCAGCCAGCTGTTGGGTGTTTCGTCTGGCGACCGACTCCTGGCATGGAGGACACACAACAGTGCAACCGACCCTCCTGGGGCAACTGGATCGACTGCTCGACGAGTGGCGATTGGAACGCTGGATGGTACTGCGGGAACTGTCTTGCTCACATATTTGACGCTGCTCCGTCCGTCATCAACCCTATCCTTGCGCGTGACACGCCATCGATGTATCCAGTCTCCCCCACAACACGGATATCCAAGAAGAGGAAAGAGGACGCGGGTGGCCTCGCCCTCGCACTTGGCAAAGAGCGCAGGTACCACGCGGCGACGACGACGACGACGCGTGCGGGATACCATCGGGCGTCGCCACTACCCGAGCCCAATCCAGAACGAGTGGACGCAATCAATAAACTGTTTCCGGACATCAGGATCCCCCAGCTGCCAGACGTGGCCAACACCAGATTCGACATGTTCTTCCGAGCGTGGACCGACGACAACAGCGACACACCGGGACACACGTTACAGTCAACGTGCTTAGTAAGGACGCGCGCTTTCATCTAGGGTGCCCTTGTGTCCTTGCCTCTGAGGCTCGTCCTTGCCATTATCACTGGTCGCCCGCCGCCTAAAAGAACCCAAACTTCGACCTCCAAGGGTCTTGCGTCCTTATCACCCGTCCTCACTATACGTTTTGACTGTAGTTCAAATGTGTTTGTACCTCAGACGCATTAGTTCAGTTGCCAACGACATTTTCCACGCGCTGGAGAACCAGTACGGAGTGCCAGACAACGGGTTGGGCGTCAACTTGTTCAACGCTCTGGCCTGTTCTACCGACGGATTGGTACCATGCACGGAATGGGATGACAAAAGATGGGCCGCTGGACTGGTCGCACACCACATCATCGGGAAGGACGATCGGCTAAATAAACTGTGGGTGGCACACGTCAACGAAACCACTCACGGGGACAAGGGCCCGAGGGTCCATAGCACGGACGAACTTGCTCACTGGCTGGCCAGACTTGACATCGATGGCGCCCACGAGCTTGGGAATACTGGACACATGCATGCGCCCGCGTGGGATTGGATCTCGACCAATCGTCCCAATGCGTACCACAGCACCAGACATCATGCCCTTCCAGCAGCTCAGGGAGCGAATGGCCAGTTTGGTTGCTAACGCCAAGGAAAGCATCTCGGCCCTGTGCGACCCAGGCTCCCAACGAATACGCGATGAGGAGAAGAGTCTGGACCCCCTGGTCAGCGTGGACATGAACGCCTCTCTCGGAAGGCAACGATTTCCTGCCCACGCTGGCACGGACTTAACCGGGCGGCCACAGCCCCAACCCGAAGGTCCACGAAAAGCGACAAGAGAGATCAGGGGCAACTCAGAAAGCGAGCCTGCTGCTGCCACAGATGAACGCAGGGGCCCGGGCGGCGATCTCCTGGACTACGACCCGAGCAAGGTCAGCGAGGATTCCGAAGCGGACGAGGCAGAAGAGCCTGAAGGAAGCCCAGCTACAGGGGAGGGTCACAACGCCAAGACTGCGGACGAGGAAATATCCAGCGCCGCAGACGATAGACCCCCGCTGCCGAGAGGAAGCGAGATCCGCCGCACTGGGCCCCACCAGGGCACGTGCGAGGCAAGGGGCAGAGCGGCAGACGAGAGCAACGAGTCGCTCTCATTCAGCATGCCGCTGATCACAGGACTGGTTCCTCGCGCGGACAGGGACCAGTGGAGTAGCGACAAGTCTTCAGACCGCCGGGCCACGCAGTCTCGCGACGACGCCAGGCGCAACCAGGCCGAGCGCACGGGAAAAGACGGGGTTATCAATCATGGCAATTGGGTGCCTTTCTCCGACCCCGCTGCCCATCCACGAGCCCAAGAAGAACGTCGGGTCCAAGATGCACAAGGCACCATTGCGCACGATCGATGCACAATGCCCCGGGGAGTCCGACAGCGCCTTCGTCTCCAGGATGCAGAGGGAACTAGGCAGCACGTTCAGCGACCCGCGGGTTGCACACTGCGCCAAAACCTGCCGCGCTGACGCCCGGCCGACTCTCGACCCAGCACTGCAGCCGCCAGGCGCGTGCCGAAATTTCACCCATGCGCGGGGCACTGCAGGCTACGGCGCGCGCCGCGCCGACCAGCCCACGCGCGCCGAGGCCAATTTTCGCAGCCCAACTGACAGGGCCACGGCAGTCAGTAACGCCTCCAGCTCAGGCGCTGGCAGCAGCAGCGGGGCCGCCGCCACCGGGTTCCACGCGGCGGGGGGGCGCCCGAGAAAGGGGGGGGGCAAGGCGAAGGATGGACCCGATTCACTGGGCAAGGCTGGGAGAAGGAGCCGAGCCACCGAGAGCCCATAGAGTTCATGGAACGAGAAACAGTTTCGACCGTGACACCAAGTGTGGGGCACCATCAAGTTTCTCTGAGATGCGGTTTTGACATCGCACCGGGCATGCGGTGCGCCAAGTGGCGCCACGCGCCGACGCTGCTAACTTTCTTTCCTACGCATGCGGCGGTTAGCCGCGTTCCCCTGTGCTCCTTCTCTTTCTGCCCCCCGCGCAGTCACTGCAGCTCAGCGGCGGCTTCAGTCTGGCAGCTCGCCGGGACTGCGCCTGCCGGGCGCCCCATTGAAGAGCGCCCAGAATAATCCATCGACGGCGTTTCTTTGCGGGCTCTCGCAGTAACTAGCGCGCGGCTGAACCAGAAAGCATGCATTGCCTACGCCCGCCGGCGCACATGGGGCGGCGCGCCAGCCCAATGGAAGACCCCATCACCCGCGATTGCACGCTATTTCGCTGCTGAAAGAACCCAGGTTTACCCGGGGGTTCGCGCGAAGAACAGCGGCAAGCTGGTGTCAGTGGCGGGTTTACTGAGGTAAGCTTCGATACAGGGCGCCTGGCGTGCGCGTCAGTGAACACAGGGTTATGGTGAGCTCTCCTCCTTCTGCTCCTCTTGCCTCGGCGGTGCGCTGATTCCCCCTGTCCTGTTTCACTGGGATCTTCCATCGCGGCTTGGGTCGCCGCCAATGCCGCTGCCGGACGGTGCTCCGTCAGCTTGGATCCCGCGCAAAGTTTCGCACTGGGGGCGGGCGGCGAGGTGCCTACTGGCTGCCATAGGTCGGCGCCCCCCCCCCCCCCTCTTGATGGCCGAATGGGTTCAGCGGGATTCCGTTACACTGCTGACAGTTACGGTGCAAGGTCTTCGAGTTCGGCAGGCGCCGTTAGGAGCGCTCACTTTCCACGGGGGCTTATTTGCCACAGTCAGGGTTGGCATAGCCACGGCTGGCACAGTCAGGTTTGGCATTATCAGCGCTGACAAAAATGGCGCAGCCACGACTGGCACAGTCAGCATCAATTGCTCGAGACATGTTTCTCCCCCCCCATTATCATGCGCGTGCCTGGCGCGCATGTCCTTCCCTCCCCTCCCGCGTCCTAATGCTGCTGCGGTCAGCTGCCGCGCCGGGGTGCCAACCGTGCCTGGCGCGCACTTCCCCTCCTCTCCTCCTCCATCCTTATGCCACAGCGGCAGCTGTTGCACCGGGGTGTTCTCCCTCCTGTTTCACAGGGTTCTTCCCTGGCGGCTGGGGTCTGCTGCCCAATATCGCTTCCTGATGGCGTGCAGGTGGTCTGGAACTCATGCAAGGATTCACGCAGGGAATGGTGCTGCGTCGCACTATCTGAGGTCAGGTGCCCCCTGGCCTGCCCCTGGCTGGTGTCGGCCCCTACGGATGACCGGAAGGTTCCAGTGGGTCTCTCGTTGCACTGCCTAGCTTGCGGTACCTGGACCTCGGGTTCGGCAAGTGTGGCTCTGTACGTTCGTTGACGTTCTCCTGCATGGACTTCGCTTTCGACGAGTGTTAAAGTATGCATTGTCGTTTGCAGTCCTGTCGGTGATGAGGTTGCCCCTTTTTTCATTCTTGCGCCGACGCGATGTTTTGGCATTTGTGTCGCCTACGGCACGGATATCGTCCGGGTGTGCCTCTCGGTCTAGTTCGTCTTTGATGGTGCCGTTTGTCTGACTCGCACCGAGCGATCGACCTCTGCGTGTTATGGTTGCGCCGCCGCGCCATTTTGGCTGCGCTTACTTGTTGGTCGCCACCGGGATTTCCACGCGCCGAGCGATCGACCTTTGCGCGTCATGGTTGCGCCGCCGCGCCATTTTGGCTGCGCTGACTTGCCGGTCGCCGCCGGGATTTCCACGCCGCCGGGTTTGGGAGCATCGGTTTTGGTTATTGTTTTGAGTGGCTGCCCGCTCGCTCGCTTCGTTTGCCTTGCTTTGCCTTTTGCCTAGTCGCGGCCCGACTAGTGTTTGGGCGGCGTTCGGCCCGCCTCGCGAGCCTGTTAACCACAGAAGCATCGCCACCAGCAGGATCAAAAGATGCAATCCGAACTCGGTGCCACATTCAACAGGGCCTGGCACAGTTGGACCGACAGTCGAGCAACTCGCCCCGGTCTCGCCCCGAAGGGCCCACACTTTCAATCCCAGGCCACCTGCGACGCAGTCCTGGCTGTCTGGCGACAGAACGGCTACGACGCCCACTCTCTCAGCCACCAGCACAAGCTCTACACCAATGTCGACCGCGCGCGCCAGGAGCACGAGACGGACGACTGGAGCAACGCCGGAGGAGGAGGAAGAGGAGGAGGAGGAAGAGGAGGAGGAGGAGGAGGACGGGGAGGAGGAGGAGGAGGAGGAGGAGGAAGAGGAGGAGGAGGAGGAGGAGGGGGAGGAGGAGGACGGGGACGGGGGAGGAGGAGGAAGAGGAGGAGGAGGAGGAGGACGAGGAGGAGGACGAGGAAAAGGAAAGGAGAGGAGGAGGAAAAGGAGGAGGAGGAGGAGAAGGACGGAGGAGGAGGACGGAGGAAGAGAATAGGCGGATGAAATGGAGGAGGAACAGGAGGAGGAGGCGGAGGACAATGGCGAGGTTGGGGGTTTCTGGGGGCGTCATGGGGGCTTTTTGGCGGTCCCGGGACCCCCTTGCGTACTTCGGGGAACCTCATGGGGCCTCGTGGGGGTCTTTTGGGGTCTCTTGCAGGCCTTTTGGGCGCCTCTTGGGGCCTCCTTGGCGCCTCTTTGGACCCTCTTCGGCCGCTCTTGAGAGGCTTGGGGACGCTCTTGGAACTTGGAACCATCTTGGAGGACATCGATTAAAGAAGGGGGGAACTTTAATTAGCCTCGCCCATCTAGAATGCCTCGAATCGCCTCTTGGGGCGCTCTTGGGGCGTTGTTGTGGTCGTTTTAGGGCTCTCTTGTGTCTTTGTTGGGGCCCTCAGGGCTCCTCTTGGAGCTGTCTTGAGGCCTCGGAAGGCCATGGGAAGCGAAAGGGCGAGAAGGCAAAGCTCACTGATTTTCCTTTGGTCTTTGAAGGAGTTGGGCCTCTTGGCGGCCTCTTGGGGAGGCTCCGTGGCCACTCGGAACCGCCTTGGGGCCTCTTTGAGCATCTTGGGAGCCATATTGAGCCATCTTGTACTATCTTGGTTCATTTTTGATATCATCTTGGGCTCTGAGGCCCTCCTAGCGCCATCGTTGGCTATCGTGGACGCTCCAACGCCTCGCGACCCCCCCTCTCCAGGTCCAGGGGAGGGGGTCGGGGGAGGGGTTAACCGCCCCCCGAAGGGGAAGAGGGAGGGGTTGGAAGAGAAACCACTCTAGACCACCTGCGCCCAGAGGGCTGGTGGGACTTACACTCGCGCCCGTTCATTGCCTGTCTTCTCTCCCTTCGCCAAGTCGTCGGAAGCGAGAGCGCGCGTCGAACTCAGTATCAGCTGGCGTGAACAGTGGTTACCAGCTACTGTGGGAGGGAGGGTGGGAGCGGGAGGGGGCCCTGACTCGCTCGACCTCGCTGGCCCCCCTCCCGTTCTCCCGCTGCCCCCTCCTCCCGTCCTCCCTCAGCCCCCCGTGGACAGTCTTCCCTCGGCGCCCCCCGCTGGGCAAGCCAGCGAGGCGAGCGGCTGCGCCCTCCGTCGGCTCGCGGGCTGGGGCTCCTCTGAGTGGGCGCCTTCGCCGACCACTGGGGAGGGCTCCAGGGTCCGGGCCGGCTCCGCCTCGTTGCCTTGCTCGCCGTCGTGGTCGTCGTCGTTGGCGTACGTGGGCTCGTCGTCGTTGTCGTTCTCGGTGCACCCCTCCCCGCACTTCTCGGGCCGAGCCGCCCCCGCCGCCCCCGCGCCCGCTGCGCAGACACCGTGGCGAAGGAGTACATCGGGCCCAGCGGCCTGAGGCGCCTGCGCCCTCGAGGGGGGGGGGCTCCCCTCGTAGGTGTAGGGGGCGCGGTGCTGGGCTCGTCGTCGTCAGCGCGGCCGCCGCCGCCGCCGCCGGACGTCGCTGCCGGCGGCGTGGGGGCCGGGAGCAGCCGCACCCTCGGGAGAGGTAGGGGGCGCCCTCGGGGAGGACGGGGACGATTAGACAGGAGGAGGGGGGGAGGAGTGGGGAGGAGGAGGATGAGGAGGATGAGTCAGGAGTAATAGTTTGGCGGAGGACTCGGGAGGATGGAGGTTCGATGACGAGATGCTTTTCGCTTGCTGTCGGTTGGTTTTCAAAGGTTCAGGATGGTTCTGCGGCTTGTTTGGAAGTCCAGCCAGTTCACCTGTTTGGGGCGACCACCAGCGTCAGCGGCCTGACCACCAAACAGTCCAGCGCCGTCGCGATAGAGAGCAACCCGTAGTGCCGATGACGCCCAGGACCTCCAGCTTGCCGTGGACTACGCCCATCACGATTGGCCAGCTCTCTCCGACGGCGATCCCACCCTGAGACTGCACCGCCCAAAAGCCCACTTCCGCCACGAACGACCTGGCGCCATCCTGGAAACTCGAACTCATGAAGTATCCCGCCGATCCACGTCCCGACGAAGAAGGTGAGGTCCAGGTGTTGGAAGCAACGCCGCTTCTCCTCGGCCTCGACTCTCCAGTGCCAGCTCCCTCCTCAGCCTCCTCGTCGTCCTTGCTGGCGTCAGGGTCCGCCCCGCGCGCCCTCTGCCGCCGGCGCTGGTCAGAGCGGCCTCCTGCACTGCGGGGCCCTCGCCCTCCTGCCGGTGCGCCGGGGCGATCCATTCTTCTGAGCTCACCGCCTCCTCCTCGCCTCGGCTGGTCCACCATCCACCCCGCCGTGGAGAACGCCGGCGTGGCTCCCACGACCCAGCGGCTGAGGGCGTGGCCACGAGCCCCATCACCACGGGCGCGAGGACGACCATTGGTGCGGTTCGCCAGCTCGCAGGCCCGCGCCGCGTTTGGCGCCGCCTCCTCAGCCGCGCTTCTGCTGCCGCGGCGGCCCTGCCTCGCGGCCGGCCTCGTCGCCGCTGCCCCGCGCTAACGCAACGCCGGATTGCGCGGCCCGCGTGAGAAAATTTGAGCCCTGACGGGTCGCGGACAGGGGGCGAAGAAGGGGGAGACAGGAGAAAACCACTCGCACCGCCAGCCCGTCCCAGACACGTGAGCATCGCGTTTCGCTACGCCCGAATTCTCACGTGCCGATGCGGGCGCGGTGCCGCGAACGTAGCCATTGATTCTTTCGTTGGAGTTCCCTATGGGGCCACGAAGCGTGTGAGAGGTGTGCCGAAGTGGGGCGGTGCCGCCATGCGAACGTTGGCATTTGGTTTTCCATAGGGGTTCCCTATGGGCCCACAAAACGTGTGAGGGGTGTGCCGACATGGTTGACATGCCAAGGGCAGAGGCAGGGGTGGGAGCAAGGAGGGGGGGCAGCGGGAGGGATGGAATGGAGAAGGAGAGGATGAGGAAAAACGGGTCACGGTCTCTGCAAAACGAGGACCCAACACCACAGGATGGCTGTGAACAAACTGGCTTGGATTAGGGTGGCTTCTAGTGAGTCGACTGTGCTTCGCCATTTCGGATGATTATAATGACGATATCAGTGGTCTGTCATCACCCTTGATGATGATGACGGTGTTGATGATGACTGTGGATTATTGTGATTACGATGTTGATGACGATGGCGGTGGTGGATGATGATAATGATGACGGATGAGGATTCACTCCTTCTCTTCCGTAGCCGCGTCGGCTCGAGCGCCTCTTCTGGCTTGGGGCCATCAGCGGCAATGTTCAGCGAGCTGAGGCCGAGGCCGAGGGCGACGCCCAGGTCCGAAGCCACGTCGGACACTGTGTCCGACGCGAAGTCGGACGCCGACGCCGACGACTCCGACCCGGGCCCAGGTTCCCATCATCCCGAGACAGAGGATGAGGTATCCGACGTCTCCGACGCGGGCTCGGGTTCCCATCGTCCCAGGACAGAGGACGTGTCTGACGTCTCCAGCCCGGGTTCCCATCGTCCCGAGACAGAGTGCGAAGTGCCCGACGTCTCCGACGCGGGCCTAGGTCCCCATCGCCCCGACAGAGTACAAAGTGTCTGAAGACGCCCGCGGCTGTAACAGCAAAGGCTCGTTTTCCGCAGGCTCTTCTTCCGATCGCGACCGCGGCTCTACTAATAGCAGAGACTCGTCTTCCGCGTCGGCCACGGCTGTAGAATGGGAGGCCTCCCCGAGCAAAGCCGCTTAGAAATTCGACCCTGGTTCCATGGCCCTGGCGGAGCTCGTCGCGGGCCGCGACTTCCTAGCGCGCATCGGGGTGCACGGCGCTCGCCGCTCTTGCAAACGCAGGTCTCAGTGGAACGCCGCTTTCTCTGTGTAGAATCCAGGAAGAATCCAGTAACGCAGGCAAATGCAACTTGGATGGGCAGCGCCAGCGGTGGACTTGCAATTTGTTTATTCTGCGCGGCGTTGAAGGACTCTCGGTGCCGCTCCGCCCTGGGCAAAGGCGTCGGGAGTTTCCTCCGTCGCCAGAACCTCCCGCGCCACGCCGAGCGCGCGGGGCGCCGGGCAGTAGATGCGGCGTGGGAAGAGCGGATTCGAGCGGAAGGCGCGCACCAGGGTCTCCCCGTTACAGCGCCCCCCCCCCCACACCACCACCACCACACACACGCAGCGGCCGCAACAGTTGTAGCGGCTGCGACAGCCGCGACGCAAGCGCCCGTCGTCGTCCGCACCGCCGACCCGCGCCCTGGCCGCCGCGCAGCGGTCGCCGCCAGCGCAGTCTTGGAGACGCCCTGTTCCTTCACAAAAGTTTCGACGCGCGGCGGGGTGCGCCCCATCGGGGGTTGTCGCGCAGCTTGGGGCCTCATGAGCAGCGCCGACTGGCGGTGGCCGCAATGGCTCAGTGCGAGAAGCTCGCGACGCAGAGGATATTCAAAGAGGGTATTATTGTTCTGTCGGCCGCGGGCGGTATCGACCGCGCGTGCCCGGTTGAAATGGGCACCGCGTTGCGATTTAGCCCACAAGGTTTTTGACTTTCTCCCGAGCTACGGTCTCAGGGCAGGCCGGCTGGGGCAGCCGGGCCCCGCAGAGCCCTGGGCCTTGGAACGGGCGATCGGGGCGCGGGAGTTCCCGCGGGCCATGGATTGCGACGGCGAGGCCCCCACGCTGGAGGGCTGCGCCCATCCCGCGAGCCGGGCGGCCGGCGCGGAACAGGGCGCGCACGTGCACGAGCATGTGCGAGAGGAGACGCGGGCGCGGCGCAGCGACGGGGCGGATCTAGCGCACCCCGGCTGCTACAGCGACGTTCCCTCGGCTGTCGTTTAATGCTTGGGGCGATTCGCATTCCGCCCGGAAGTTCCCGGCCAAATCGACTAAAGAAGATGGCGGAAGCACGGCGGCGGACAGTCTGCTGGCAACGGGTAGAACGCCGCCAAGTCCGACCGGGCTTCTGACCGCGCCCGCCGCGCCCCGCACCGCAGTGGGGGCGCAGCGGCTGGGGGGCGAAACAGGTTTTCGCCAAAAAGTTCGGCTGGGCCCCCGGCGTTTCAACGGTCGCGCCAGGCCCCTGGCGCGTGAAAGCCGACGTTGGAACGCGATTTTCGACGCGGTCGGAGGGGGGGTCCCAGGGGGGTGGCCGGGATAGGCGCGTTCTTGCCCGATCTGCCTTGGAAGGGCTCGGGGGCGAGAACAGTTCGCGCCTGCTTCTTGGGGGGGTGCTGGCCGACGCGCGCGCGGAGCATTGCTCCGGGGTCGCTGCCAGAGACAAGCAACCCCGACGCTGCAAGCGTTCAGTATAGGGCCGCGTCGTTCCTCTCAAGGCTGAACACGTCGTCCGTCGATGGGGCGATTTTTGGGCATCCCCCGCAATTGCGCGGGCGTCGCCCTGGAGTTTTTGCGGCGGACGTCGCGCTGGCCGCGCGGCAGCGGCGTCCAGGCTAGGCCTCGGCGATTGGCGCGCGGAGCCCCGAGCCCGCGAAGCCGCCGAGGCTGTTCTTCGGCGGGCGCAGGCAACTGCGGGCAACGTGGAGGAGAACATGAGGCTTATCGGTCAGAGCATTCTTGGTTGCACGCTTTAATTGAATTTCGTTTGCCCCCCCCCCCCCCCCCTGTCTGCAACAGACGTGGGCGCGCCCGAGTCTGCGACAGAAGCTGAGGCTTGTTTGAGGCGCATCTGTCGGGGGGGCAAAACTTTCGTGAGCAGCGGGCAATCGTCCTGCTGCGGCAACTGTTGAAGCGCGCCGAGGCGCGTCGTCGAGACGGGGGCGCCACGCGGCAGGCTTGGGGCCGCGCTGCGGCGGAGTGGATTGAGTTCGACAGCGGCCGCCGTCTTGTTAAGCTCTTCCTAGTCTGGAAAACGTGAGCGGGCAGCGCGGCGCGGCGGTTCCGCCGTTTCTCTGAGGTGCATTGCCCCGATAGGGCTAGATTGCCGGGCGTGCGCTCGTGGACCGAGCGCCCCCCAGCAAGTTGCCGCGCGCGCGGCTGGGCCACCAGGGGCGGGGCGAGCCCGCCAGGCGTTGGCGCCGGCGTGCGCCCTGGCAACATGAGCGCTTCCACGGGCAGGTCGGAGCGACGAGGAGGGCCGATAGGCGCGACGTGGGAATCGCATGTGAGCCTCGGCCACGGCGTCGGTCAGAGGCGGGCTTCGGTCGCAAGCGAGCAGCTGCCATCGACGCCGCGGGGGCCGCTTCCCCGAGCTGGCGCGCTCGCCTTCTCGCGGAGGCCGCCCCCAATCTCGCCGCGGCGGCGCGGGGGGCGGCCCGGGCGAGCGTCGCAGATCCAGCCCGCGCGGCGGCAACAGTCGTCGCCTCCGTTGCCGAGCGGAGGCCAGGGTGCGAGCGCGCAATCATGGAGGGGCGAAGGCCGCCGCCAAGGCCGGGTGTGCGCGGGAGAAGGAGGTCTCGCGCAGTGCCGCGCCAGGGTTTGCGGGCCGCGACGCTTACCTGGCCCCCGCGCGCCCCCCTGGCCTCATGCTAGCTCGCGCGGGAGATCCGGTGGCCCGCCGCAAGGCGCGGCGCTTGCAACTCCAGCTGGTTCACGACCCAGCGGAGTTCCTGCCCCGCTTGGCCAAGCAGGACGGCAACGCAGCGCGGAAGAAGGAGGGCGTCGCCTCGGCAACAACGGCCGACACATACTACGGACAACGGCATCGCCGCCCAGATTGCAGCAGTGTTCACGGGGGCTTTCTACACGACGCCCGCTGATTCTGCGCGGCAGGACCCCCAGGGGCACCCAGTGCACCGAGAGGCTTCGGAGCTCGAGCCAAAGCTACCACGTGGTTGTAACACCGGCTCTCCATGCGACCTCCCCATCGCTGCTTCGCATTTGCCGAGCCCTCGCCCGGGGCCGAGTGGGCGCGCGATTTATCTTCTGCAGCCGAGGAAGCTATGCAAGTTCTTCCAGGAGCGCGCCAACGGCGCGCCCCGGCTGGCGCAGCGGGCTGGCGTGCCGCGCCGCTCAGGAGAAGAGGCGGATGTCGACAAAGGCTTCAATCAGCTTTACAACAGTCCGAAACACTGGGTTCTGCGTGTCAGCGCGTCCTTCGAAGCATTGCGCCCTGGCGCTAAGGCCGCAACTGCGCGGAGAGGTGGGGGGGGGGGCGGGGGGCGGCGGCGCCCGTCGCATAGAGTGCGATTGCGCCATGTCTGCCGACAAGACCGCCCCTCGTCGTTCGACCTTCCTCTTCCAGACTCCATCCCTCCCCGTGCCCCCCGCGCCCCTCGGGGGGCGCCGCTGCCGCGGGCGGCGCTGCCCGCCGCCGGGGGCCTCGAGGTCGCCGATGGGCGGCGGGGGCGGGGCTGGCGACATGTCCCCCGAGGCCTGCGTCCACGGCCGGGACGACTTCGGCAAGGGCCGGCATTTGCGGCGCGATGGTTGCGTCTTGCGTCATTTATGCACCCGCGGCGACATCGGGCAGAGCGCCATGTGGAGACGATGGCGACGACATGTTCGCGGAGATTACATGGGCCATCTTGGCCTTGATGGGCGTCGCGCGGGCGTGCCTCGCGCGGCAGACGAGGGCGCTCAGCACGGCGGTGAAAGGCGCGTTCGAAGTCGATCATGTCCTGGCCCCGGCTTCAGAATCTAGACGCCCGAGATAGGGCGCCGCCAGGGCCACGCGCCGCATCAGGTCAAGCATTGCACCCGAAGGTCGAGACGCACGAGGCGATCCCGCAGAGCGGCGAGGTCATCTTCGGAGAAGTCGTGGGAAGCATCATGGATGCGGAGGCCAAGACGCACAGCCAGGCGGAGCCAGGGCCCCGTCGTCGGGCGAAGGTCGAAGAGACCAAGATCGCCCCGGACGGCTAGGACTCCCAGACCATTCGGGAGAAGCTGGCCAGTGAAGGGCTCCACGGCATCCCGGTCATCATCGAAGTCTCGGAGAAGATGCTCAGGTATCACAAATCAATGGGAGTACAGGTTACAAGAGATGAAGCTACCAGGGCTAAGGCTGGATTGGCGCACTATTACGCGAGCCCTGAGTCCAGGGGTGGCAGACTACGTATGCGGGGAGTTTCCTGCAGCTACAAGCATGCAAGGTCTGCGATAGGTTCCGCTGCGACAGCATCATCCTGTGGTTAGAGATCCATGTGACGGCATTCGAGAGAACGGTCTGATCAGCTACATATCTATGAGGTTCAGTATGGCCGATGGCTGGAGAAACGTGGCAGCTGCTTGTCTTCGGGGCCGACGGCCAGGAGTTGGCAGGAAAAGGATCTAACAAAGTGCGTGTAGTCCTACCATATCCTGTTCTACCTCCCCTGCATGCACCTCATCATTCTCCTTCCCTCCTGATGACCCAGAGGTCGCTTGAACCCCGCTTGGGCCCCGTTGAGGTCCACGCCCGCCGCTGCCGTTTTGGGCTCGGGGGCCTACCAGGGCCATTGACCAATTTACGGTCTGCCTCCCCGCGGACGGACGAGAGCGATCGGGGCAACTGCCCCTCTGGTGCGGCGAGAGAGCGGTACGCACCGCTGGCGCGGCTCCGCCATGGTGATGATGGTTATTATGATGATGTTGTTGGTGATGATGATGTTGATGTTGATGATCACGATGATGCTGTTGTTGCTGATGATGATGTTGTTGATGTTGGGTGTGGTTATGTTGATGCTGATGTTGGGGGTGATGATGAAGATTATGAATGCGAACATGAATAGCCGTACGAATGTTAATATGCACGTGAGTTTGAAGATCATGGTGGTGATGTTGATGATGATGATGATGGTGCTGAGGATGGTGAAGACGCTTACGAGTAGGATGAGAAGGAGATATGGTCGCAGGAGGTTGAGGCGGAGGAGGAGGAGGTAGACGGAGGTCGGAGGAACGAATCCGATGACGAATGCCTACGGGGAAGGTTGGAACAAGAACGTTCGGCAGGGTGTGGGGACATGGCTGGCGCGCCGCGGAACGGAAGGAGTACGTGCATCTACGGGGGCGCCAGGGTCCAGGAGCAGGGCTGGGCGCTGCGGGACCCGCGCGCCGGCTTTGGTGGGTGCTGCGTTTGTGCCGCCGCTGGCGCTGATGGGTCCTCTCGGGAGGCCCTCTTTCGGAGGGGACCTCCCTTGTGTCCTGGGTGCCTCTTGATATTTGCTGGTTGTTTTGCCGATTTCGTCCTTATCTTCCTACCTCTCTGAATTACTGGTTTTTGTTCGTCATCCTATTCCTCCGTCCCTCTTGGTCGCCAACTAAGCTAACATCAGCATGATCCTAGCCAGACCAATCCTGTCCCCAGGATCCGTTTACACCATGTGCTGGCCACGCCTGGAGGGCAAATCCGTCGACTCCGGACTCAGGACCCCGTCGCAATGATGTGGCGTCCGTAGTCTCTGTCCACTGACCGCTGGATGAGCTATTCTCTTATGGTTGATTTTCCCCTCCCTGGTTGGCAGCTGCGGTTGTGCTGCAGAGCAAGGGGTTCGTTTGCTGCGCTACGAGCGTCCCGCGCCATGTGTTCTAGCCGCGGGGTGTCAACGGTTGGTTTGCCGCCACCGCGCCAACATTGCATCGCCCGCTGAATGTATGCATTTCAGGACTCCCATCTCCCAATGTATCTGAAACGCATTTCCAATTCAGCAGTCGAAAGTCCTTTCTCCTTCCGTGTGGGAGCCCCCAGGAACCCAGTAGTATTCAATATCATTCCGAGTGCAGTGTTCAAGTTTGTACGGGCATAGAGACCCTAACCGCCAACGATGTATGACAGGACACATGGTCGGCACGGCACGGCAGCACAATGCTCGCATTCTAGGACACAGGCACGGCGCGGCACACCATTTTCATGATCGAGCGCAGGCACGGCACGGCTTGGCACGCAGGCACGGCACGACTTGTGCTCCGCATTCTATCTAAGTCGCTTACGGCGAATCACCACCGCCCCCTGCCTTTGGAAACGCCGATTTGGCCGAACGTTGTGCCCGACGCTTGGACTGGTGGAAACCCCTCGCAGAACATTGGGGGAGGATGCAGGAGAGTATGAGGAGGAGGAAGAGGACGAGGACGAGGACAAGGACGAGGAAGGTTGGACAGCTTTCGGAACCAGGGGAATTCGTCTTGAATCTGGACAGGATGGAGGTGTCATGGTCCTGGTCAAGGGCCACTTGGAGGCCTGGTGTGCTGACCCTGTTCTGCTGTCTGGCCGTCTCTGCTACTGCTGCATGCAACACCACAGTCTTTGGCTCTTGGGGCTCTATTCCAGCTACTTCCACGATAGTGAAGGGCTTTCGCCACGAAGCATTAACATCCTGGAGAAGTTTGGGACTGCTGTTGCGCAGCGAGGATATCCGTACATCCTCAGTTGGGATGTCAATGCATCGCCGGCCATTGTGACGTTGAGTTTCCCAGTGCACCTCATCAAAGGTGTGGTGTGGGCTGACCCCAGAATCCAATCGTGCGTGTCGGTAGTGGACGGCAAATTCAAAGAGAGCACGGCCGATGTTCCCATCGTGCACCGTAGATTGGTCGTGGTGGTTAAGGAGATCACTACGGACCTTTGAGCCCTTCTGGAGCCCCATCGGCCGGTGGTGATCCAGAGAGGGGTTGACATCAAGGACATCAACACTCAGGACCCCAAGGCGTACCAGAAGCTCCCTCCAGTCCCCCTCCTGGGGCCCCGACGGGAACCACCTGATTGTCAAGCTGTACTGGAACCTCTAGACGCCCTTTATGATCGGCTCGGAGGTGTTGATGCTGAACATGTTGCATAAGAGGGAGACGTCCGAGATGAGGCCATCTCGGTGATCAACGCTGCCTTCCCCAAGGGGAACGAGATCGCTTGGGCGGAGCTCAAGGGTGTCACAGGCACTTACCCTGCAGGCGTGCACGGTGGTTGCCCATGGAGTGGGAAGGACGCCCTTCTGTCCAGTGTGCTGGCGACGCGTCAAAGATCCTATGCCCAGTCTCGCAGAGCCCTGGGTTGGGTGGTGGGTCGTCTTGGGGAGATTTCCAGTCTACTTACCCAAGGGAATACCCCGAGTTCGGATGGTTGTCTTGGGTTGTTGGTCAAGCCGCTTGTTGACATCCAGAAGTCGCGAGGCCCGTTTCGAATTTCCTGGAACGTTGGATATTCATTTTGGCATCCGATCTTGACTGGTTTGGGAATACTACTCATGGTCGCCCAGAGGAGGCCCACAATGTCCTCACAGATGCTCTCCAGTACGCCAAGGATTTCAACACTTGCGTATTCTTGTCTTGGGACCAGTTCGATGGGGCAGGCTGGAAAGGATGGCGCCCCCAAGCTGTTGAGGAACTTCGGGCTTGTGAGGCTCACAGATTCCTGAAAAGGGGTTGAAGTTCTGACGCCCCCTGGATGCCCATGTGGGCCAACCGGCCAGGAGATCAAACGTCTCTTGCACAGCATCTCTCTGCGGGCCCGACTGGAGCACCAACGTGACCTCTGGAAGAAAGTTTAGGCGGCTACCGAAGAGCCCCACAATCCATTCGAGCTGGTCCAACGCGGGATCCCAGTAGGCAGGCGAACAGAGATCGACACCATTCGAGCTTGCTCTAGGCTGATCAAGAGCAACACGTGCGCGCCAGACGGCTGTCACCCCAAACACATGTCCATGCTCTGCGACCAGAGCCTGTTGTGCCGCCTCGCTCATGCACCAATTGATGCAGATCACTGGTGTTGCGCCCCGCCACGTGCAACGCCTTGTCATTCTCCTTGCATTCAAGTCTGACTCGACTGCTAGGAGGCTACTCGGACATGTCGGATGATTTGTTCGAGTATTCGGCAAGGACCATAAGCGTCAAGCGCGTTCCTGGGAGATGGAGCGCGGCATGGGCTCTGGGGTTTTCGATCGCCCCCGAGAGGCCCCCGCCTGGCACGGTTTGGAGGCATGCCGCTGTGGCAGAACAAGCTGGGAACTTTGGGCGATTCTCGTCGCAAGTGTTATGGGGCGTAAGAGAATTTCACGAACATGTTACTTACGATATCTTAGTCAGGGCTGCTCGGTACTGCCAGCACCCGCTGTTGTTGCTGGCCTCTGCTCTAGGCACATACCAGGTGCTGGGGCACCTCGCGCTGGAAGGGCTCGTGGATCCCGCGCTGCACCCAGGCCGCGGGATCGTTGCAGGCTCGACCACGGCCGCGCACGAGGCTAAGATTGTCTTCATCCCCGGCGTGGACCGACTCAGGGCCAGCACGGCTAATTGATGCTTCTCTTCCAGCAGACGACAATGAGAGCGAAGCCGAAGACAGGGGCGTCGACGCGGGCACGCGAAACCCCGCCCCAAGCGACGCCGACGACCTGGACCCAACCCCCGTTGCCGAAGACGACTACCGTTTCCTAGTTCCGACGCCACTTCCACCGGCATCCCCTCGCGCGCCGATCCCTACCGAGCAACCAACTCCAACGGGCCCATCCCCCAATTTCCCGGACTTCGACCGACCCAGCTCTGCCCCGCCGCCCAGCGTCCGCACCGCCGACAGCGCCGCCATACCCAACACACCCACAACTACGATCTTGGTCGACATCACATCAGGGGACGACGACGTGGCCCCACCTACACCCCACAGGATGCCCCTCTCCGACATCTCACCCACAGCCCCAGCGGTTCCAACCCAGCCCCCCCCGAGATTCCACTTGGGCGCGCCAGACAGGGCAAGATCAGCCCCGCCCTCCTCGGACAGCGCTGAGGAAAGGAGGCTCCTCTACTAGAGCGACGGAGCCCAAGAATTATGCGCGACGTCGGAGACGGATTCGCAGATCTTGGAGACCGCGGCCCAGCCTTGTAGACGGCAGCGGGGCCAATTCCGACTCTGGCTCAACAAATCAATAAGGCCACAACGGGGCGACTGGCCCAGGAGGAAAGGCCGCGCCAGACACCAGGAAATCCCGAAGTCCACGCGCCCAGCGACATCGACTCGTGCAGTGCTGACGCACCGACCTCGCCACCACCTCCCCCCACCCCACGCCGCGGAACATGCTTCGGGGATAGCGCGCCGCGCGCGCCCAACCCTCCACCCAACCCTGAGCCACACCGCCAGCTGGCACTGCGATCTACGCAGCTGCTGCCGCCAGCAAGTGGACCGAGGACCAACCCCTCGGCCGCTGCATCTCGCATAGGGGGCGGCGAGAAGCCACAGTGGCGCAGCATCGCCACGTTGACGCCAGGCACTAGGAGTGGCGGAGCCCGCATATCGTCTTCAGCACCCCACGTCACACCGCACACGGCAAAACACCAGAGGCCAAGCCACGGTCGGTTCCGACGTCGACGACGCCTCCATGCACGCCGCCTACCACGGTAAGGTTCGCCAAGGACATCATTATCATCCGACCGCTACCACGCGCAACCAACGTCAGGCACGACGTCAAGCAATTCAGAAAGGTACGCTTCCACCCCAGCACCGCGGCGACAGGCCGGACCGACAGGCATGGCAGCCCGACTCACGAGTGGGAAATCATGTCAGGCGGTTGCCGAGACAACCCCTCGATCAGCGCTGGACTGGGGAGTGAGCCCCCAGCCAGCGCAGGCCATCTTCAGCGGCAGGCCAGGGGGGCGCAAGCGGTCTTTCTGGGCGAAATAAACCAGAAGAGCCGCCCCCTGGCCCATCAGAAGCCGCCGCTCCTTGCGGCGACGTCGGCATCGACAACCGCCGCAGAGGGCCAGGGGGGGCACGAGCGGTGCTTGCGGGCGACACAAACCAAAAGAGCCGCCCCCTGGCCCAGCAGGAGCTGCGACACGACCTGACGACGCCCAGAGTCACAAGCAGCAACATGACACAGCTTCGGCTGGACCCTGGCGACTCCCCAGGGCCAGCCGTTGCACCGCTCGCCTACAGGGTTCCCGCCGCCACGAGGCGATCGCGACTCCCAGGGCGCGGCCATCTAGGGCGAAGACTTCGACCTCCCCGCGAACCGACCGACCCGCGCACCATGGCAATCCCTTGGCGCCCAGCCATTTTGCCATCAGTCGCCACCTCCTTCCTCTCCAGGAGGACAGCTTAAGATCACTAACAAGGAGATCATCCTATGCCACGCGCAGCAAAGACTCACGCAGGAGCAGCAGCGAATGCACCTCGCCGAGGAGCCGCTCCAAGCCCCGCACCACGGCGACGAGACCCTTGGACCTTGGCGACGCCCCAGGGCCAGCAACGACCCCGAGCGCCCCCTTGCGGCCTTCGGTAACGGCACCAACCCACGCAGCATCCCAAACATTGAAGACACATACCTCGACTCACCTTTCCAACATCACAACCGCCCACCATCCGCCAAGCCCAGCCTTCTCGACAGACCCCACAGCAGATTACCGCATCAAGCTACGGTCTTTACGTCACCCACTCTTAGCCAAGACGACATAGCCCAAATACCCAAACCTCCACCTACTCCTGGACATTGCACAGCCCCCACAACACCGCGACCTCCTCGACCCGCCCCTTCCCGGCGCAGCCGCGCCGTGCAGAGCCGCCGCGGGGAGGGGTTTCAAACCATGTCGAGCCCCCTCGGCCAGAATGCCGCTCCCACCCGACCTCCAGCAGCAGCCGCCAGCACCACCCACCCCACAGCCGACTAGCCGGGTCGACTTCCAAGCACGACCCACCATCAAGCATGCATTACAGCAGTCCCAACACCCGATGCTGACCTTCGAACTCCACGACAAAATGCTTAGCGAGACCGCCGGGCACATGTCGAGACACTGCCCGCGGATACCGCTGCGCCCGCATGCCAAGCTCCACTTCTTCACCGACGGCTCCAAGCACCCCGGGCAGCCGAGCGAGGACGCACGGGCAGTGGTCATAGTTGGGGAAGACGAAGGTGGCGTCACACTCCAAGGGGCGATTATCGGGGCGCATAAAAGCGCCACCGACAACGCCGCGAAGGATAACAGCTACCTCGAGACCACATCCACCACCATCGAGATCACCGCGACCAAATAGGCCTTCGCCTGGGTCCCCCACCGCAGCCTCGACGACGTCGTCACGAGATCCACGGACTCGCTGGGGGCCTTGCAGCTTGCGAAGAGGGCGGCCTTCGCCAGTCACGACCCTGACCTCGCGAGGGCTCTCTGCATCTTCTACGGCATGGCCATGCAGAGGATTGACCTGCAGCGCGTTCACGCCCGCGAGCGCAACCCGTGGAACGAACGTGCCGACGCGGCCGCCAACCGCGGACGAATCATTGCGATGCCAGTTGCACCACCTACCAACGGGACTGGGAGTTCCTGATCGACGCCGACGAAAACACCAAGGAGGCCTACCCAAATTTCGAGCAAGGCAGCCTCGCGGCATCCTACGCCCCGCGGTCGCCAACGCCAGCCACCTCCACGAGCCGACAGAGGCCAGTGACAGAAGGGCCGAGATAGTGGTCAACATCGCGACTTTCAACATCCAGACTGGTCTGGAGCCTAAAGAAGGGGCAAGAAGAAACGATAACATCAACAAGCTCGAGTCTATCATGGCCACCCGTAACGTCGAGGACCTCCGCGTCATCGGCATCAAGGAAGCCAGGCCAACATGGGGCACGCGCGATGCAGACACGGAGGGCGACGCCGCCTGCGCCAACGCAGAACAGCTACCACGTCATCTCCAGCGGCCATAAGGGCTACAACCGCGGACGCGCGCTCCACATCCTTCTTAGCATGCCATACGGGAGGCGTGGCAAGCAAGAGATGCACTTCAAGCCCGATCAGTTCATCGTCATCGAGAAGGACGTTGGTCTCCTCATCATCCGCGCGAGCGCGCCTGGATTCTTCAAGCCCGATCAGTTCATCGTCATCGAGAAGGACCTTGGTCTCCTCATCATCCGCGCGAGCGCGCCTGGATTCTCCGACGTGCTTCGCGCCCCCCCACCCCCGCCCACCCACACGCGCGCGCACACGCACACGCACACGCACACGCACGCACACACACACACACACACGCGCGCGCACGCGCGCGCACGCCCCGCCCCCCTCTCCAAAGCCCCCGAGACCGAGAAGACCAGCTTCTGGAGGAGACTTACGGACGCGACAGATAAGTACAAGACCAGCATCATCTTGATAGACGCTAGTGCCAGGACAGGCGACGCCACTAGCACAGCGATCGGCGACCAAGTCATGCAGCAGAAGGAAGATCCAAACGGTCGAAGGCTCCGCGAATTGCTCCGCTCCTCTCCAACAACCTCGCGGCCGCCAGCGCGTTCGTCCGCCGAGGGCCCGAACGCCGCGCCAGACGCTCAGGACAGAAACCCCGCCGCATCGACTGCGTCGTCATACCTAAGGGCTACCTGGATTCGATCGAGGCATGTTCTGTCCTGCGTGGCATCGACAACGGCTGCGACCCCGATTCCAAGGACGAGCACTGCCCCGTCAAGCTGGAGCTCGCATGCGGGATTACGTCTTCGACCTCCAAGGGCGCCCCCAAGCTTGGCGAGCAAAAGCTAGCCGACGACACTTGCCGCGAGAAGTTCAGTCCGCCTACGAGCGCCCCCCCTTCCCACGGCCGCACCCCGCACAAGCCTCACATCTCAGATCGGCCACGTGCCCTTCTACGCGCGCGCGGATAACTGCCCGAGGCGACCCGAATCATCAAGAAGAGCGGGATCACCAACGAATGCGGCCTGGCGCGGTTCCGATACCCAGCGCAGATCTTATCGCACGACGCCATGTTGCCCGACCCACCTGACGCGGAGCACATGGGCTACCTCGACGCCTGCCCCCAGCTCATCTCCGCGCCCATCATCTTCTGAACCTCCCCCCCTCGAACAAGCACGCACTGCAACGCCCGGCGCTACAACGGCACTAACCGACCACCTCGACAGCGCCAAGCAGTACTACGACACCAGCGTCCAGTTCCTCATCCTAACCACGCCGATACTTAGGAAATGGATCGATGAAGACCGCGACGCATTCCTGGAGAAGACCGCCGACGGAATGAGCGCCGTCATCGACAACCACGCGCTCTACATGCCAAGCGACTGCTGGCCGTCGGAGGGCACCAGCCCAGAAAGCCGCCCGCGCCCATCATCCGCAGCACCGTAGACGGTGAGCCACGCGCAACCGGGACCGACATCGCCGACTACGCCCTGGCATGCTACGGCACGTTCGAGATGGGCAAGACCACCGACGCCGGCGGGGTAGCCAAGAACAACTGCGATCGCACCAGCACAACACGACCCACACCCATTATCCAGAACACCATGCCCAGACGCCAGCTTACCAGCCAAGTGGCCGCCGCCAAGAGGACGGCGAGGGGGGCCCGACCAGCTTTCAGACGGCACGTCTAGAGCAGACCCCACCCTATATTGGTCAAGACCCAGACCGAGGGCACCGAGCCCATCGCCGCCGACGGGGGGCACTCCACGAACTTCTACAAGGGGCAGGGGGCAATGGGGCAGCCGAAGTCCTACCGCGGGATCCTCCTCAACAGTGCCATCGGGAAGATGCGTAGCAGCTTTCTGCGCTCCAGAGTGAACTGCTTGCTTCCTAACCTTTTGGAAGCGACGCAGCGTGGGGCGAGACCCACGATGGCGACCGACTTCATCAGCCACGCATCCTTCGCTTTTACAACCGATTGCCAAAGAAGGACCAGATCGGGCAGCATCGACTTCCTCGCCCTCAGAGAGGCCTTCCGCTCTGTCATCCGGGAATTCTGCATGGGGCCCCCTACCACCGCCGACGAACTTAACGACCTCATCGAGCAGATCGGCATTCCAGCCTTTCTCAAGCCCTCCCTCATCGATGCATTGAAGCAGCCTGCTTGCAACAACCAACGCGTCGACGATCAGCACCTTTGCCGCGTGATTGCCGACCGCCACGCCTCCAACTGGATGACCGCGAAGAGGGCGAAGCACACACAAACAATTACCACGGACAAGCACCCGACTTGGCGCTTCCTACTCTGACGCCGCTTTCAACATCCACTTCGCCATCATGCTGCGGGCAATCGACCGAGCAGCATCAGAAGCAGAAGCATGCGATCACTCATCTGGAGGCCATGGCATACCCGCATGTCAGACCCCGCTTTTCCTTGCAGCACCTCGCGAGGGCGGCGCGCTCAGGAACGCGTCCTTCGTTGACGACCTCGCAGACTACAACTCGACCGCCAACGACAGCGACTTGCTACAGGTGAGGGGACTTTCAGCCACCAGGCTGCGCGGGCGCAGCAGCTTGCCAGCATGGTCTCAAGCCCCACCCTGACAAAGCCACATCTATCCCCATGCACAACGGCAGCGGGGCCAAGAAAGAGCGGCAGGAGATCGCCAGGGAAAGGTCGCCCACGACGAGCCAGAGAACACCCCCATCAAAGTCCAGCCCGTGACCTAGCAGAAAGCCGTCGGCACAACCATCGCCGGGGGGGGTGTCATGGGCCCCGAGATCTGCCTCAGGATGAACAGGACTTTCGGCGCAGCAAGACCTCTCGAGAAGCAGATTCTCCGCCGCAAGAAGTTGTCGGTGAAGGCCAATGCGACGCCCCATCGACCTCGTCGCTGGCCTACAACCGCCACGCATGGAACCGCCTGAACAGCAAGGACCGCAACTACATTGCGACCAAGTACAGGGGCCATATCGGGTGGCGGTATCCCTGCCCAAGACGAACACGCTCGGCAAGCGCTTTACCAACGGCGAGGCGATTGCGAAGACGGGCATTCCCGATTTCGGCACACGCCAGACGACAGCCCGCTTGCGATGCCGCCACCGCCTCCTGAACCACGCTCCTGCCGCCTTATTACAGCTACTCGATAGCGAGCGACGGCGCAGAGGCACATGGAGCCACCTCCTCATGCAGGACTTCGCGTTTCTCCGAAAGCACCTCCCGCAAGACAGATGGCCAATCAAGGGCCATCAAGACAGCGACATCATCAACTGGGCCCGACACAGGCCCAAGGTCTTCGCCAACGCGGTCAAGGCGGCCACCAAATCCTACCTGCGCTACGCACGAGACCAGGCTCAGCGAGTCAGGTTCCACAGGGTCATCCGAATGCCCAGGGTCCCATCGAGCACCGTCGGGGTAGAGAACTCCGACCACGACTCCAATGCCAAGTGCGCACGCTACATCTGCGGCCGCACGGCAACCACACAGGGAATTGCAGTGCATTGGGGAGGGGGGGCACCCCGACAACGAGAACCCTCGACGCTGGGCAACAGGTGCAACGTGCAGATGCTGCCACACGGAGTTCCACGCATTCCCGAGACTCCTGAAGCACATCGCGGTGGCCCATCGTTGCCGCAAGTCGCGGCACGCATGGTATGCCACGACGCTGGAACCCCTTGCTGAGCAGCAAATCGCCGACAACCTCGACGCCATCGCTACGACCGCTGCAGCGAACGAGAAGAGCGGCCGACCAGCCGCATTTAGCGAGGTACCCGCCTACAGGATCGACACCACGCCGCTTCCATGTATCGAGACGTCCCCCGCCCATCCCAATGTCTACGCCGCGATCCAAGCGGCCGCGCCCCAACCAAAAACACTTGAGGTCTCTGAGCCAGCCGAACGACAGGAAGTCGCATGCATCGCGGGTCGCAGCGCAGCGACCTGCACCAGACCAAGGCCACCAGCGCGATCTCTAGCATGGGCGGGTTGGACTACCGCACGATCGACTCCAACTGCGACTCCTAGGCGCCGATAACGGATCGCGACCTCCAGTGCATCTGCGACATGCTCACGAAAGGAGAGATCGCCGCCGCATACGCCCCGCTTCCGATAAATAATTGGTACAAACACGACAACCCCGAGGCCGCCACCAACTGCGCCAGTAGCCGTCGCTCCAAAGCAAGGCCACGGGGGCCAGCCAACGCCGCAGAAAGGATTGCCAACGAGCTGCGCGCGACAAACTCCGTCACCAGAGAGATCTTCATGACCGTTCAAGCAGCCGCAGACACCAAGGTACCGTTCCATGCCATGCACGCCGAGGAACCCATCGTCTGGACGACCCCTGAGAGCCGCCACATCATCAGGCACGCCTGCGGTATGCGGCACGAACAGCCACTGCGACATCGGGACAACGAAGACAGTCACCAACTCGGACGCCCCCATCCACGAGACCATGCTCAAAGATACAGTCGCCGAGAACTTCGACTACACCGCGCCCGTCCAGCCCGATGATCTGATCATAGCCAGATGGGGCTTCAGAGTATCCAGCACAGCATTAGCCAACGACGCGCACATCAGCAACTACTGGGGCGAAGGGGGCGTCACCGTCTGCAACGCGATCGACACCGCCCCCGGCAGCGTCCCCGCCTCCGTCCATATCTGCAGCCCCATCTATGGCTCCGAGACTCCACGCAATGGACATGGCCGCCATGCTGATGCAGTTTTTGACGGCATGCGGCATACCACTGAGCCTGGAGTCAGAGAGCAAAGTCCTCATCAACGTGGCCACTAGGCACGACGTCGCCATGTAAGCCGGAGGGCGTTCGAGCGCAACGACCTAGCGCGCCGTCGCGGCTACTAGGCACTCCGTTGCCGCGTAAGCCAGATGGCGTTAGAGCGCAAAGACTTAGCGTGCCATCGCGGCTATTAGGCAACAGGTCGCCACGTGAGCTCGGTGGCCCAGCGGACGACGCGGTTTCTGGCACGGGTGAAGATATGGAACGACGGAATGACCTCTGGCATGGCGGACAGCAGGGATGGAAGGATGCGCTCTCCAACCCGATGGCCAAGTACATGCAGATCCACGCCAGTGGCGCCCGAGAAGGAGTTTGGCGGCAATAGCGGGTCCCTTGCTACGCGCGGCAGCCCGAAGGCAGAAGGCCGAAGGGTGGGCTGCCCCCACTACCTGAACGACAACGAGCACCTCGCCACCACGGGCAGCCCGCAGCCGCCAGGCCGAAGGGGGGGCTGCCCGAAATATACGACGACTGCTACGACGAGCCAAAGACCACAGAGCGCGAGAAAGACACATGTCTGGCAGCCCGCAGCCCGAGAGCGGCCGAAGGGCGGTCTGCCAGACAAGAGGGGGGCGCGGGGCACCGTGCCCCGCGGCAGGCCCCCGAGAGGAGCCGCCGCCTCGCGTGGCAGGCGAGGCAGAGCCGCCGACCAGCCAGGCCGGCAGCGGCTCATCAAGACAAGAAGAATATCAAAGTGAGAGAAGGTGGAGCCCCCCTCAGTTTGCGAGCCGAAGGGAGGGGGGGCCCACGCAAAGACGACGGAGGGAAGGTTGGGCCCCCTCAGCTCGCGAGCCGGAGGTTGGGGGGCAGCGCAAAGGCCACGGAGGACAAGTTCGGCGCCCACAACAGGACGGCCGAATGAGGGATACGGCGCGCTGTGCGCGCGCCCTGGAGCCCGCGTCGAAAGGCTCGAAAGGGGGTTGCGCATTGGGAGCCTCTCGGGGCACTCTTGGGCTCTCCTGCGAGCTTCTCGGGGGCCTCTTGGAGACCTCCTGGGGCCTCCTTGGGCATCTTGGGGGTCTTTGTAAGCTTCCTTGGGGCACTGTGGGGGAGTCTTAGGCAGTTCGTGGCCCACGTGACGCCGTCGGAAGCCGTTTAGGGGCTTCTCTGGGCCGTCTTGGGGCCTTCTGGGGGCGCTTCAGGACCGTCTTGTAAGTCATCTTTGGGGGCCGTCTTGGGCCGTCATAGGCTCACCGTGGAAGCCTCCTGGGCGATCTTGGAGCGATCTTGAGGGCCTCCTGGGCCGCCGGAAGGCCGAAAAGGAGCAAGTGCCCAACGCCTTCAAACACCATTCGAAAGCAAATGATTATGGTTTCTTGGGGCCTTCCTTGAGGAGCTCTTGGAACCTGTTGGGCCGTCTTGGAGGTATCTTGGGAGGTTATTGGGCTGTCTTGGGCCATCCTATGCCATCTTAGGCTGGCGTGGGTGTATTTTGTTTGGGCCGGGCCAGTTTTGGGGAGAGTCTCATGGAGAACGAGTATTCCCTGGGACTTCCGGGTGGTCGACTCGACCGACCGAGACCCCATTGGGAATTTTTGAAAGGGGCAGAGCTGTCTAACATTTGGCACGCCGTGCACCCCTGTGGCATGCACGCTGGGCGGCATATCGAAGACGCCGACGGAAAATTATCGCAGCCCCTTTGCGTTTCGGAGCGCCGATTCAACCAAACATGGCCACACGTTGGGCCAACGTCTGGCCAACCTAGTGGAGCATGTGCTCCCCCAGCCGTTGTGGGACCCCTTGGGGAACAGTTGGGGGAGGGAGAGAAATGATGAGACGAGTCCTGGCCCCCTCACCCTTGTGTGCAGTGGCCCCCGCCCACTTGGAAGTTTGAGCGCCTGAGCAGCGCACGTGCAGCGATCGCATGCAGCATGCCCATGACCAGCAGAGGGAATATGCAGCCAGCTGGACTTCGAGGCGCCCCATCCGTGCCGCCTTTGCGCCTCTGCCTCGTTCGTCGCTGCCCCCAGGCGTCGACCACTCCCTCTTAGGGGTATCGCCGCTGCCACGGCGACTCCTGGCCCTGGCCGGGCGCCGCCCTGGGCCTGGGATGGGTTTGTGCCAGGGGCAACGATCTGGGGGGATCGGCTCAGGGGGGCACGCATCGACTCCCAATTGCCCACCCATCACTGAAAGGAGGCCCGATAGCCCCATCCCGCCCAGGAACGTGCGGATTCACTATCGGGGGCCTATCGCCGATCTATCGGCGATGTATCGCCGATGTCAGCTCGATGTTTCCCCCCTGAGCTGGTCCCCCACCTATCGTTGCCCGTCGCTGTGGCCAGGTCTGGTGCTGGGGCGGTGCGCCCTCCCGCATTTTTGTGCCCGTAGAGCGGGGCCCCCAGCAAGCAGCACTGGGCAGGCGGGTAGGCTGACGACTGCTTGCTGGGGCTCCTCCATGCCGCACTGTTTGCTGCATGTTTTCTCGTGGCCTTCTTTTGCTTTATCTGCTTGCCGATGCGTTGCCCAGGGTCACCAGGCGTTGTCTCCCCCTCCCCATCCTCCCCCTCTTTCCTCCTCCTTATGCCCTCCGCCGCTTCCTCCTCCGAACATCATGCTTCTCCTCGTCCCGCTTCTCGTCGTCGTCCTTGTCATTATCTTGCTGATCCTTGTGATCCTCGCCTTCATGCTCCTCCTGCTCCTGTCTATACTCTTTGTCCTCCACTTCCACGTCAGGGACACTGTTCCACTGTGGCTGGTATAGAATCATTGCTTCCCTCACTGGCCCAGCCACTTGCAGGAGAAGAATGATATTGTTGTCGCGACCCCGGGTCGTTTCATCCAGCTCTTGAACGAGGGTTGGACGAACCTCAACCGCGTCACGTACCGTTGCCGCGCTGGAGGAACAGGAGGGACGAGGAGCAGGATAGGAAGCGGCAGGCGGCAGTTTTGTGATTTGACAGACGGATGTTGGCACGTGGAAGTAAATGATGTGGATGTGGATATGGGCGCGGATTAGATGATGATGATGATGATGATGACGATGATGATAATCATGATGATGATGATGGTGATGATGTTGATGCTGATGCCGATCTTGATGCTGATTGAAAGTATGATGATGTTGCTGCTGGCGTATTATGCTGATGCTGATGATGGTGACGGTGATGGTGATGGTGATAGTGATGATGATGGTGATGATGGTGGTGGTGATGATGATGATGGTTCTGATGATGCTGATCATGGCGATGGTGACGTTGTCTAGGATGCAGATGATGATGACGATGATGATGATGATGATGATGACGAGGTCGATGCCGATGGTGATGATGATGATGATGAAGATTGTGATGGTGATAGTGATGACGGCGATGCTGATGTTGGTGGTGCTGATGATGATTGTGGCGGTGACGGTGATGCTGGTGGTGATGATGGTGATGTTAATGATGACGATTCTGATCGGGGTGATGCTCATCACGGTGGTGGTACCGATGTTGATGGTGTTGATGGTGATGGTTGTGTGTTTGATGATGATGATATGATGTTGCTATTGATGATGCTGACGATGATGATGCTAATGATGATGATGATGATGATGATGATGATGATGATGATACTGATCAAAACTTTGTGTGCAATATTGATGTTGATGGTTTTGATGGTTATGATGTTGATGCGCATGTGGATGATGAAGATTGTTGTGGTACTAATGATGATGATGGCGATGATAATGTTGCTGCAGATGATGATGATGACGTTGACGACGACGATGACGATGGTGACGGTGACGACGACGATGACGACGACGATGACGCTGATTGTGATGATGGTGATGACGATGTTGTTTATTATGTTGTTGATGGTTTGTGATGTTGATGGTGATTATGATGATGACGACGATGATGTTGCTGATGATGATGATTCGGATGATGACGACGAAGACGACGATCATGGTTATGATAAGATGAGCAGGTCAGCATGACTAGAGTCAACGCAATATTTAGACACGACGCTGCACTAAACTCTTCTGTCCCAGGTTCCCTATTCGCCTTCATTGCGCGAAGTGGCCCCCTTGAGGGACGAGCGCCCCCTTGGCCAGCAATACTGGCGGGAGATCCGTTCTGGAAAGGATCGCCCTCTATCCTTCGAGCTGTAAGGAACGTGACAAGGTGGCGCCGTACAGTTTAATGAAACGCTCAGCGACAGCCCCGCTTGCAAGAAGGTCAGTACCGCCCTCCATCCGCGTAAGGATTCACGAATCTGATAATATATTGCGAGGAATTCCCGGGCGCGAGCCCCATCTTGAGAAGGAAGCGCCCCCCATATGTCTTACCGTTGGAAGTGCACAAGTGGCGCCCCATTTTGAAAACCAGCCACCCAGCATCCGTGTAACTAGTCGAGGTGTTGTGTGTGTGTGCCGCGCTAAGGCGAGATCTCCATTTTGAAATCGATTCACTTTCCATCAGTGTGACTGTTGGAGACTTCAAGCTTCAAGATCCTAGACGGCGTAGAATTTTCATGCGAAACGCCCGGTCCGCCCTAACGGCACGTTTGGTGGTGCGACAAGCGACAGAGAGGAGTGGTTAACAAGGAAGGGGGATGGAGGAGCAACTCAGGGTGAGAGGGACGAGGTTGACGAGAGGAAAGAGGAGCCGCACCCTTCGGTCCAAAGGGGTGGCTTCACCCAAAGCAGGCCAGCACGGTGGTCGGGGGTGGCGGGCAGAGGAACTCCAGGAAGGTCGGCATGAGCCACGGATGTTGTTCTGTTGGTAACCGCTCTCGTGAGAGGTGGTTCGTGCCGCAGCGTGAGTCCTGTCATGTCCGTATGCTCGCGAAGCCCAGCTAGGACACTTCAAACCCAAAGCTGAAAACACAACTACGCAGTGAGGCTCGAAGTGTGCGAGTCGTTCGAGCATTCTCCTGCTCCTCCTCCTCCTGTTCTTCGTCCCCCCTCGCTCTTTCCACTTCTCCTCCTCCTTATCGCCGTCCTCCTATTCCCCCCCCATCCCTCCTTCCATCACTCTCCTGCCCCCAGCCTTCCCTCCCTCCGTCCCCAAGCCCTCCCTCCTCTGCTCTTCCCGAGTGCCTTCGCCGCTCCCTCCGCCTCCCCATCGTCATTCTGATCGTCCTCCTTCCCGTCCGCTGGCATTTTGGCACAGGGAGGCTAGACTTGCTGCAGCACATTGGCAAGTGCCGTCGGTCCGTACTCCGCTCGCAGGCAACATGGGTATCGACATCGAAGCTGGCGGCCGCGTCAAGACCAAGAAGCGCATTACCACAACCAACAATCCATACATTCGGCTCCTCTGTAAGCTGTATAAGTTCTTGTCCCGGCGCACGGAGTCCAAGTTCAACAAGGTTATCTTCAAGCGGCTCAACATGACAAAGAAAAACAAACCTCCTTTGTCCATTCTACATGCTTGCTTACCCCACGCCGTCGACCCCCGAAAGGTAGAAGAGGCACCTGTGGTATGGGCTGTTTAGGTTGTTAGAGAGTCCTGTAAAACGCGAGGGGACTATGAAGAGTGACGTGATGTCCAGGGCCGGCAGGGAGGCCTGGGAGAAAGCGGCCAGGATGTTCGTGAGGTATTGTTGCCATGTCCTCAATGATGGATCCTCTGCTTTGGCCTGTTTCTGGTACGTTTTTGACATCGTGGGTCCCCCTTGAGGTCTCCAAGAACAACCGGGATAACGTGGAGGTGGATGTGGAAGAGGGAAGATAATATGAGATGAAGGAGAGCCGCCTCGGCAGGAGTAATGGAGCTGACGTGATGTAAGGTCATGAGCCTCGAATGGTCAGAGACCACAATAAGAGAAGTGTAGCGTCGCTGGGGTGCAGTCTGGGGCTTTCTTGGGGCCTCCTCTTAGATCTTGGGGGATCTTGAAGTTGTTATTACAGGGTCTTAGGGCCTATGAGGGGGAGTATTGGGGCCTTCTCAGGACGGTCTTGAGCGGTCCTAGAGTCGTTTGGGGACCGTCTCGGAGATCGTCTGTGAGCCTCTAGGGCCATTTTGGGGCATCGTGGGTTGTTTGGAGGCCTTCTTGGAAGCCTCGCAAATCCTGCCAGAGGTGCCTGGAAGCGATGGATGAGATAACAAACGCAATTCAACTAGATAATGATTGTTCATGTTGTTCTTGGGCGTCTGGCCTCCCTCTTGGGACCTCGTTGAGCTCTCTCCGGGGGACCTCTTGAGTTGTTCTTAAAGCCTGTTGGATGCGGTGGGGCCCATTCCTGAGCCATCCTGGAGGACGTTTAGGACGTCTTGGAGGTACAGGGTGGATTTGAGATCTCTGAGGGGCCAGGATGCGCACTGAGGAGCTCGACGGCCGCCCCCTCGAACGGGAGTTTGGATCTCCGGGGAGGGAACGGGTGAGCGGGGAGGGGGCAGGGAAGGCTGACAGCATATCTCACACGGCTTCTCACCAGCGGCAAGCACGGGTCGGCGGCTCTCCAAGCTGGCCAAGTTAATGGAGGGCAAGGACGGAAAGGTTGCTGTCTTGGTGGGCACGATCACAGACGATAAGCGGCTCTACGAGGTGCCTAAGCTCACGGTCTGCGCCCTGCGTTACACGGAGACCGCCCGCGCGCGCATTCTTAAGGTTGACGAGCGACGAACATATTCAAACCCATGCCGTCGCGGTCTGGACATCAAGGCGCGATCACATGGATTCATTTCGCGCGGGCCGTCCGCGCACAGCCGCCCCGTATCCATGGGATCACGGCCGAGAAGGCCAGACCGTGAGGCCGCGGATATGGCTATGTTTCCCGCCCACGCCAGGCGGGGGGCGAGTGCATCACTTTCGACCAGCTCGCTCTGCGGGCGCCCATGGGCCAGGGAACGGTGCTGCTGCGTGGCCCCGTCAAGTCCCGCGAGGCCGAGCGCTACTTCGGTAGGGCCCCGGGCGTGCCCCACAGCTCCACCAAGCCCCGCGTGCGCTCCAAGGGCCGCAAGTTCGAGCAGGCGCGCGGCAAGCGCGCGTCGCGCGGGTACAAGGTGTGAGGGGCCAGGCTTGCCCAGCATGGCGCCAGGACGGAGAGACAGCAGCGAGCGCCCATCCTGTTCCTCCGCCTCCTCCCGCCGCCCCCCCCCCCCCCACAGACAAATCCTTTCGGAGGCCCGCGGGGATTTCATGCATCGGCGCTGGGCCCTCTCCCCACGGAGCGCGCCGGGGACGCGTCGGAGGCGCCGCTCAGGGGTAGCAAGGAGGCGGGCAAAGCGCCGACACAAGACATCCATGCGGATCTTCGACAGTTTTTGCGTTCACTCCGTTTTCTGATATTGTATCCTCCTTCGTTCTACCTCGCCCACCAGAGGTACGTGGTCCTAGACGAGGCGGACGAGATGTTAAGCCAGGGCTTCGGCGGCCAGATCAGACTCATCCTGAGCCAGGCCTGGTGGAAGATAATCTATTATTATCTCCTCCACTCCTCCCCATTTCCTCTCTTTCTTGCCCCCCGTCCCCCCATCCCCGCTCCTTGTCTGAGCACCGATCGCACATGCCCCGTTGGTTTACCGACTCCGCGACCGAGTAGTCTCCGCGAGCTTGACAGCATGCAGAGTGGACCCCTTCTACGCCCCTCCCCTCCGCCTTTCCCCCCTTCCCCTCTGCACCCAACCATCGGGCTGTAAGCCCCTGGTTGTGAGCCCAGGGGCCTTGTGTTGGAATTCCTCGATCAGATTGCGAAGGCCTTCTGACTGTTTCCTCCAGCCCTGAGAACAGGTTGGGCGCAAGCGACGGGCGACGGGTGCCAGGGGCAGTGGCGTTTTTTTTCCGCGAGGGCGAAAACTGAATGGCCTTCGGCCATCACGCCACTGCGCCTGAGTCACGCGACGGCCTTGCAGGGAACATGTTTTGGGCTCTTGGGGTTGGGGGCTCAGGGTTCCTAAGAGCCGTTGTGGTCCACTTGCATGCGTCTTGGGGCTTCTGGAGCTTGCTGGTGGCCTTTTGAGGACATCTTGGGGGTCATCAGATCGTGTTGGAGGGACAGGCTTCCAGCGGCGCAGCGGTAGTGCGCTTTCGGGGCCCATCTTGCGGGTCTCTTGAGCCCCTTGTTGGGGGCCTACGATTCGGCAGGCTGGTGGACATCGCGTAGCACCTGAAGGAATTGTGTTCATTTGGCGGCGGCGCGCCCGGGGAGGAAATGAGAAGGAGCAGGCCTTCTCAGAAGGCGGCGGGGCTTCTCAGAAGCCCTCGCGCCTTCTGAGAAGTTTTCTGCGTCTTCGGGGAAGGCTTCGACACCTTCTCAGAAGGCCCGAGGCCTTCGAGCCCTTCTGAGAAGGCCCTCCCCATCTGACTTCCTGGGCTCGCCGCCGAATTTGGGATTGTTGGGCCCGTCCGATGGTGCCTCCACACAGGCCGAGGGACCCGACGACGGGCGTCGGTATCAGCCGAGGCCGGCCCCGAGAGGGCTCCCAGCCGGCCTGGGTGGCCCCAGGATGGCCACACTGGCCGCAAGATCGTCCGACTTCCTCCAGGGAGTCCAGGGACTTGGTACCAGTGTCGTCCCACCCTCCTCGGCCGCCTCTTCCTCCTCCTGCTGCCCTCTCATTCTCCTCCCTCCCTCGCCTCATCAGGCGTCCTCCTTCCCTTACTTCCTCCTGCTCGCAAGATCCTCTGGGGGCGGGGGCGGGGGTCACCTCTTCTGGGACCCCCTCGCCCCCCCACAGTGGGAAAGGGATCAAAGGAAGTGGGCTTCGTTTCGACTCGATGACGGCCTGAGTCGATTCACTCAGCGGATCTGCTAACTTGGGGAGCCTCGGGTGGCCGCAGGGAAAGCGGGGAAGAGCTCCTGAGGACGGGGACCCAGGGTGGCCAGAGGAACAGGATAACTTCGAATAAGAAAGCCCGTGGTACACACTGACAGGGCCTTTCGGATTGGTACAGAAAGGCCAGACCTCGGAAGAAAGGACAGAGATGAGAGGGGGGATAACGTTCCCCTAATGATCGTCCTCCCGCTCCGATCTGCGGTTGCGGTGATCAAGAAGAGTGTGTAAGTAGTAGGTGCGTGTTTGTTCTTCAGGCGCGCCTCGGTTGCCCACACCGCGCTTGGCGTCTCGTTGTTGCATGTCGGCCTCGTGGTCTCCCCTTGCACGTCTGTGTCTACCAGTAAACTCCGTAGCCATTCTGGCCCGAGTTGCTCATTGCTGGCACCTTTGGCACCCCTTGCAGGGTTTGGACTGGCGTCTTCGCCGTCCCGGGACTTCTCGAGGCCAACTCGCCGCCATCTCAGGGCCGTCTGAGGGCCATGTTGGACCAGCCTTGCATGACGAGTTCCCCCTGAGAGGATTCACACACATTGGTCGGGCAACGAGAACTATGCACGTACATCGACCCTGGCTAGGCCCATCCTGGGCCGCTGTTCACTGTATTTGCTCCTCTGGCTTAGCCAGGAAGGCGCCTTTACTTATCCTAGGCCCCGGATGAGCTTGGCCAGGGTCGGTGTATGTGTTAGTTCTCGTCTTTCTAATTGTCCCCCGCCCAGGGGGGCGAAAAGCGTGCACAGCAATCGATCGGCATTGTTGGAAAGAGTGCTACATGGTTTCACCTGACCAGAGGGCACAACACGCCTCTGGCCCATTACGCAGTGTCGGAAAACAGCGGTGTTATCGCAGCACAAAGCAACATTCATTTACCGTACATCGGGGTGGACGAGAGGGACGAGGGGAAAGAGGGTAGCCGAATTCGGATCTACCGCTGGGTATTTCAAACCTTGATGCACGGCCGCCACCAGTGCCAGGAGGCGCCAGCAAAATCAGTTGCATGCATTCGCCAATTACCTCTTTACTATCCTCCCAGATCACCCACTCCGAGTACAGACCTGCGAGAGGGCAGGGTCCCATGCGACCGCTGACCGACGGCTCTGTCAAGGAGGCCCCTAAGAGCGCGCCATCGTTCATTCCCTTCCTCGTTGACATCAATGTGTGTTAGCAGCTCAGCTTGTGACGGCGAACAAGGAGGGGTATATGCCGTCCCCTGGAGCCCTCGACCCCTTCCCCAGCACCAGCTTCTTTATCTTGATCCGGTTAGGTGCACAGAAATGGCGCCCAGTAACCGAAAATGACTGCACAAAGAAGCGTCACGATTGTTTTCGAGTCGCCAGAGTTCAGGGTAGGGTGTGGGGCTGGATGTAGAGCTCGGCGTAGGGCTGGGCGTCGCGTGAGGCGGCGGAAATGGGGTCGGAAGGGGCGTCGGTGAGGGCGTCGGGCTGGCCGTCGGGCCGGCCGACGAGCACGGCGTGGGGCTGGGAGTCCGGACGGGCATCGTGAAGGACACCGGGTAGGGCGTCGGGAAGGGCGGAGGGTTGGACTCCTCCTCCTTGTGCCTGACCCCGGGCCCGCTGTGGCAGGTGCGGCCCGACCGCCAGATGCTCATGTTCTCGGCCACCTGGCCCGAGGAGTTCGGCGCCCGGGCAGGGTGCGGGGATGTTCGATCGGGGCCTGAGGGTCTAGGCCTTCCAGGTGGGTTCCAAGCAGGTGGTGCCGACGGATCGCTCCGCCTCGACGATGCATCCACGATGCGGCTCGATGTGGAGTCCGGTGTTCTCCACTCCGGCGTCGCCGATGCATTACCGACGTCGTCGATGCCTCGGCGATGCATCGTCGATGCGGCGCGATTTTCCGAGCCCGCTTACTCGGACCCCATCAGGGAGGCCTCTATGAGTTCCAACGTCGCAGTCGCCCGAGACCTCTCGGCGTCAAGGACGGCGGAATATTCATTAGACTTTGGATGCCCGCGTTGGGCTCCGGGGGCAAGAGGGACTGGCTGGTATGAAGAAGCGCTCCCCGAGATGGAATCGAGAGGTCGGAGGGCTCACGCCACGAGCATGTCATGGCGCCGGGTGTATGGGGCCATGGGTTGCGAGGAGACCTCCCTTGACCTCGTCCCCCTTTCCCCCTCCGTCCGCCGGCTGTTGCCCAGGGCGTCCCTGGCCAACAGTATCCCCAGTATCTCCTGGGTGGTCCAGATGGACTCCAGCGCTCCCCTCACAACGATTCGATCTGGTCGACCCGATTCGATTTCGAGTTTCGTTACTGGCGAAACAAATGCGGCCATTGTTTACGCGGCGTTGAAACAAGGCGCCCCCTTTGTCTGGCGCGCAGGGCGCTGCGTGTTGTACGCGCGCCGAAACACGCGAGGGGGACATTGCGAAAACAAGGCTATCTTCTAGGAGGGATCTAGCCCTAGTGTTGGACGCCCTCACCCGTTGTTTTTATGGTTCGGGCCCTCCCTGGAATGTCCTTCAGCCCTGGCGTCCCCACACGGGGCCTTGTGCCATCGGCGGAGGGGCTCACATCCTTGGCCCGCGTCAGATTCCAATCCGGTTTGACCTCGGATTCGGATTTGAATTCCGTTCTGTTTTTGCTGGAGGCCTGACTAGCCCCCCGATCTCTGCCGATGCGAGTTCTCCCATCTTGGCTGCCGATTGCCGCCGATCCGAGACAGTTCCGTCTTCCATCGGACTCGCCGGCTCCATCTTGGGATCTCCAGCGCGCCCCACCCTTCCGCGGCAGGGCCCCCCCCGCGGCCCCCGCGCCTGGCAGGAGGTGCAGCACCTCGCTGCCGAGCACTGCACCAACACCAGCGCAAACGGCGGCCTTGGAGCGGCGCGCCGCGGCCCGCGCGCGGCGCGCGGCGTTCGCCAGCCTTGTTTCACAGGGGGGGAGCTCTACCGCTCGTTTCGATTCCCCAGACGCGATTCGCCCCGATTTCGATCGACTCCGGTTCCGATGCGATTCGACATCGGATTCCGATTTTGATTTCGGAGGCTTTGCGAGCTTGTCGATCTCCGCCGGTTCGGCTTCTCCCGACTTGACTGCCGACGTCCGTCGATCCGATTCGTTTACATCGCCGATCCGATCTATCGATCCGATGTTGGGCTCCCCTGAGGATTCCCAGGGGCGAGTCCAAAGACAGAGCGGAGCGAGAAATCCCCGCTTTGGGGGGCCACCGTTTCAGAGGAGGGCAGGTCGAGACATCGGCGGCCCTCCTTCCTCCTCCCCCGTCCGATTCCCCTCCCCCCCTCCTCTGGGGGGCCGCTGCCAAACCGGCCGCGAGCTTGAGAGCGACAGGGACAGTGGGCGTCTAGTATGGTCAGGCACTGCCTGGTAGCGGTGGCGGTGGCCAGGATCGAGGAGGAGGTCTTCGTTACGACAACAATTCCACATACACGCGCGCAAGGACTCACGAACGCACGCATTCACCTTGCTTTTACGTGGGGGGCGAGGGAGGGTAAAGGCTGCATCGATGCGACCTGGAACAAGGTGCGCGTGTCTTGTATTTCTCGCTCGTCGCCGTCGTCCTCCATGTGTAACAGTGTTTGAACAAGTTCGACTGTGAGTCCCGATGGGCTTTGTGAGTTTTTCTGTGCTCAACTCCGATGTGTCAGAAGACGGGGAGCAGGGACGGCATGCAAACATGTCGTGGCCTGCTCAGCTGCATCTGTCCTCCGCCACCCCACCCCTCCCATTCCTCCCGTCTCGTGCCCCCGCCTTCCCTCCCCATGACTCTTGCCTTACATCCGTACTGCTGGCTCACTACTCGCTGCTCCCTCCCTCCCACCTTCCCTCCATCCCTGCATCCTTCCGCCTTTCCACCCCATTTCCCTCCCCGCATCCCTCCCCCCCATGCCTCCAACGGCAGTGGAGGGAGGGATGGGAGTGAGGGGGGGAGGGCCTTCCACCCGCCCTCCTTGCTCATCTCCTCCCTCCGCCCCTTCCTCCACTCCCTCCCTCTCCACCCCGCCGCATCCCTTCACCCCGCCATTCCCACCGCGGCGCCAGCACATGCCTTCCGCTTTGGGGCAGATGGTCACTTGTGCCAGGCTCCGCCCGTCCCCTCCGTCCCTCGATCCCTCCGTCCCTATCCCTCCGTGCCAACATCGCTCCCCAGTAGCCCACCCTCCCTCCTCTTCTCCGCTTTGCCATCCCTCCCTCCCGCCCCGCCCCCGTTGCTGCGAGGTGACCGTGCGTGTGGGCGGCGATAGGCTGGCGGCGTGCAGGACGCCCCACCCCGCGAGCGCGAGCGTCGTCGTCGCCGTGCCTGGTCATCGCGACGTCGTCGTCGGTCATCGTCGCAACAGTCGGGGCACGAGGCGCCAACGCCACGAGGGCCCGCGATGACAAGGACTCACACCAGCTTGATCCAACCGTCAGGACCACGAGGGGGCACCGGCCGCGAGCATCTAACTCGTGTCACCGAGTCCAGGTCTGACGCCAACTTGCGGATACACACATCTCTTAAAGACTAGAAACCCAACCTCGGAGGCCCTGGGTGCCGCAACACACCAGGGCCCCCGGGGTACACTACTGAGATGGGTGCGCTCTGCCTTGGTTCACCCAGCTTGCATGTACTTTAAGTTGGCATGCAAAGTACAGATGATCCATGTGCTTACTGTTTATATGCCAAACGTATTCATACAGGAGACAGCGCTGGGATATACCATTCATCGCACGTTCCCTTCCCAAGAACAGATGATGTGTCGCATGATACGACGAAAACTGCAGCTAAGTTGCTTTTATGTTGATGCTCGTTCTTACTCACCATAAAAACCGAAGTGTTTCAGTCACGTACTTTAAGTTGCCACGCGAGTAGCTATAACGCATCGAAGGATTGAATGCCTCAAGTTTTCTCTATGCTGCTGACCACGGCGACTTGCATGTTCTTGGCGATGGGGGAGTCAATTTTTGAGGGGGTGCGCCAGCGCACGTTGTATCGCCGTTGGAACAAAGGGTCACAATACATGCATGGTTCGCATGGGGTCTGCATGTTCTGTGATACAGCATGTACGTTCGCAGTTTAAGCTTCGCAGTACGGTATACTTATGCCTACATTTGTGAGTCCCGTCGCCCCCCCGCGAAACACAGTACAAACAACAACGGCCACTTCCATCGCCGAAACTACCGCGACCCCTCGTTGGAAAATCATTCCGGGACTTCCGAGTGATAGGCTGCCCTGCCTAACCGTCTTGCGTCTTTCGCGGGAGGCGGAGTGGTTGCGGCCTCAGCAGTTGCAGTGACGTGCGTTGTCGTTGCGGTATGTTGATCTAGCTACGTAACATACGTACACTTCGTTCGATATTTGCCAGTCTTGACGCTGCGCGCATTTCCACCATCCAATCCAGACGCGATGCCCATGAGTGGCCCAGAGAGAGAGAGAGAGACTTAGGGCACCATCTTAGAGACTTCGTCGGGCAATTGTGGGGGCAGGTGTTCTCCCCCTGGGGCCATATTGGGGCCCTCGCTCTTTGCTTCCTCTTGGGGCCCCGTGGGGTGGAGTGGCCAGTGGGGTTGTGTTGCAGGGGGGCGATGAACAACGTGCAGATGCGACAAGCAGCGCGGGCCCCGTCGCGCACGTTGGGTCTGTCAAAGTCGCCTTCTGGGACGCTTTCATTTGTCGTTATTAGCCGCACATGTGCAACGTTTTGCACATCGTTTGCGCCTGCTCGGGCAGTCTCGCAGCGAAGGCGCCATGGCAAGCGAAAGTTGGCATTGTGATCAGGCGCGGCATATCAGTTGGCTGCGTTGACCCAGATGAGCAACGCGCCCGCCGAACTGGCCCTGGCGATGTTATAAGTTGCACATTGCGACGCCGCGTCGTCGCCAAGGTGGATGTTCAATATTGCGAGTTGTTGCAATTCTGGGAGAAAGGTGTTGAGGCAGGAGCAAGCGATTGGGCGCCCAAGCAGGTCGAACTGTTTCTAGAATGTCCACTGGATTTCCCCCCAGCAGGCGCCTAGTCAGCTTGCCCCGAAGGGGGGTCGAACAGGCCATCGCGGCGCTGCCCGGCGTCGCCCGCTCAGTCGTTGAGAACGCCCCGCTGCGGTCCAAAAGCAATTTGCCGCGTCTGCAGAAAGGCCGCCGATGCGACCGCCGCGCGCGTCCGCGTGTAGAGGGGGCGAGGGGTGTTCGACGCTCGCGAATGGCAAGCCCCAGCGCGTGGCGCCCAATCCCTGCGGGCACGGCGATCGGCGCTGCGGCGCCGAGCTCTTCGTCGACGTCCGAGCCCGCCGCAGGGCCCACGGCGATAGCTCACTCAAACTACGACCTGGGTATGTCCAGCAGAAGATGACCGACCGCCGCCTGCGAAAATCCCGCCAGCCCGCCGCTGAGGTCGCGCCGAAGATGGCGCGCGGCCCCTCGCGCGCCCGCCGAGGCGCCGACGGGCGCGGGGCTGCGGCGGCAGCGCAGCCTGCCGAGGCCGAGCAACCCGCCGAGACCGCGTCGCCCCTCGCGGCCGACTCGCCCGTCGGGCCAGAGCAGCGCGATGGGTCGGCATCTGGCGCCGACTCGGGCGTGGCCCAGCCCGTCAGCTTGAGGGATCTCGGCCCGCGCGCTCGGGCTGCGATTGGCGCTGTCGAGATGCGCTGGGATAAGTGCAAGCTGGCGCCGCGGAGGAGCGGCGCGTTGAGATGCGCCAGTTGCCGAGGCCGCCGCTGGCGACGGCGCCGGCGGGCGCGCCGGGAGCGACGACGCGCCCGCCGCGGCGCCGCCCTAAGCGTCTCAGGCGGGCAAGATAGCCGCGAAGGCTGAGAAGAGCGAGTTGACGCCAGTGCTACGAGGCAAGGTCACGTCGGCGGTGCCCACGCGGCCGAAGGAGAGCTTCGACCCCGTCGCCGCCGCCCCCCCCCGCGGCGAACCAGACAGGCGTCGCGCGCGCCCGTCGCCCCCGGGAGGTTCAGCGCATTGGCGGGCCGCAGCGGCGCGGGCGCCGAGAAGTCGAGGGAATGGCGCGCGGGCGAGCCCGCCGAGGAGGCGCGAGCTGCAGCCGTGGAAGCGATTAACAGCGCAGAGTGCGCTGGAACCGATTATAGCTTCCATGGGCCGCGGCGCCGATCGTGGCTCACGCGTGGCAAGTCGCAATTGATAGTTTATATCTCTGCGGTTTATTGCTGAAAGCGCGCGCCCCTGTTCCGGCTGCGAGCTGGGCGGCAGGTGCTCCGCGCGCCGACGCTGGCGTTGCCATAGAACCATTGCGACGACCGCCCCCCGCCGCGCGAGCGGACCGCGACGACCCCCACTCTTGGCGCGCTCGCCCCATTTGGCCCTCCCCTTTGTCATTTTGCCCCCCCCCCCCCCCCCCCCCGGCTTGTCTCCCCCCCCTTCCCGCCTTCCCCCCCGCCGCGCCCTGCGCGCGCGCCCGATGATTTCCGCTTGCCAAAGACCCCCCCCCCCGACAGGCATCGTCGAATGTTTGCCCCCGATGAGTATATCCCAAAGGGGGTTCCTCCACTGGGGGCCCAATTGACCCCATCCGGGCGCGTTTGCCCCGGGCGGTGCCCACGCGATCGCGCGCGCGCCCGAGCGCCCTTTTCTCGCTGCAAGTGTCCAGATCGCTAGACTTCGCACCGCGCGCGACGCAAGCGTCGGGCGCGCGGGCAGAAACAGCGGGGCCCAGCCCAGCAGGTTTCCCAAATGAACGATGCGCTTATCCGCTGGGGACTGGGCATTCTCTCGCGAACCCTATCTTGCATCTCGTAATCACATCGCGCTGACTCATGTTTGCAGACTGATGGCGCGCGCATTCGCCGAGCAATGACTCCCTTGCTGCCCCGGGTACTTTGGCCGATTCAGTAAGAGTGCCGCTTCGGAACTCGACGTGTCCATTCCGACGCCAGACAGGTCTGCAGTCGCCCGCGCCTTCTTGGGCGCCCCGGCGGGCGGGGGGGCCGATGGCGCGCGGGAGTCATCCATTCGAGACCAAACGCAGCCGCGAACAATTCCGGACAACGATGCCTCCACGAGAGCGCGCAGCGGCCACTTCGGCCTGTCCATGGCGACGGTGAGCTACGATGAGCACGCCGGTGCCTGCCAAGCTCGGACTGCCGGGCGCGCGTGCCCGGTCGCATTGCAGATTCGGCGGCGAGCGCGCGGCCCTCTTGGAGCTTATAATCGGCCGGCCAGTCGCGCGCCGGGGGCGCGCGCGGCAATCTGGGCGGAGGCCGAGGGCCCGACGGAGCAGCTGGGAGACAGAAGCGGCACTGGATGCGGTCGAATTTGTTGTCTACCCAGGCGGCAACCTCGGCGCGATTTTGCCCATCGGGCCTGCGCGGCTGCGGGGTAGGCGAGGTCGTCGGGGAATGCGGAGGCGGGTCGCAGAGACAGCGGGGGGCGCGCGCGCGCAGCATGGCAGCGCAAACCAGCGCGGGAACAAATATACGCGCGACACAACGAAAGGCACGCGCCGACAAACAACGCAAACAACCCAGAACAAACAAACCAGAGACAGCGAATGAGCGCGAGCCAAAAGTGAAACACATCAGGGCTCCGCGTGACACGCGCGGAAACGAGCGAACCCAAAGCGACGAGGACTGGTCGCCGGAGGGGCGCCGGGTTGGAACGTTGGAGAGTTTGGGGGCCAGGCGCGCGGGTGGTCGGCGGTCGGGGGGCCCGTGGTTGGAAGGCTCGGGGCGGGGGTGCTGGGGGTTTGGAGGGCTCGTGGCGGGGGGGCTGCGCGAGGGTTTGAGGCGGGGGGCGGGTGGGCGGGGCAGCGCGGGGGGGCGGGGGTCGGTGGGTCAGCGCAGTGGGCGCGTCGTTGTCGCGTTAATAGGTTGTTCATCAGAAGTGGCATTCGCCGCGTCGGCAGTAATTGTAAATTCGGTATTTGCTTTGTGATGTCGAAGTGTATAGCGCCGGTGATATATAAATCTACAAGAATGCCTCAGCGGCGAAGGTCGCGTGGCCCCCCGCCGCCTGCGGGCCCCATCGCAAACGTCATCAGCGCGGCGCGACGTCTGTGAGGAGCGCGTGTATGCACGGATGCATTGATAGATGCATAATTGTTTTGGTTGGTTTTGTTTTGCTTTTTGCGATTGAGCTGCGCGCGTGCCCGCGGAGCCTGCGCGGGGCCAGGCGCGCCCGCCGCCGGGGCCTCGACCTTCTGCGAGAAACGACCTTCAACGCGCAGGGGCGGCAGTCGAGTTGCCGCGGGGCCGGCGCGAAGAATGAGGCGCAGCTGCAACCGAAGGGTGTTCCCACTAATTAGTGGATTTCAAAGATGTTGGTTTTTATATATGGCCGTCGGCCCGCCGCGCCACGCGCCGTGCTCGGGCTGTGTTTATGAGAGGCCTCTTGGATGCCTGGTTGGGTCTCTCGGGGTGCCTTTCGGCGGTTTCGCGGAGGGCTCTGCGGCCCCCTATCGGGGCGGGGGTGGATGCGCGCGCGGGAGGGGGGTCCGGGGCGCTTCGGTGGCTTCTGGGGGATTTCTCCATTGGTCGCAAGGCGTCTCGGCGGGGGTCGGGGGGGTTCGATATCTCGTTATCGGGGGCCGGGCCGGGCGGGGGCTCGATGTCTCGATATCTCGATATCGGGAGCGGTGGCTCGATATTTCGATATCGGCGGCAGGGGCTCGATGTCTCGATATTTCGATATCGGGGGCTGAGGCTCGATGTCTCGATATTGGGGCGGGGCCAGGCGGGGACTCGATATCTCGACGCTTCGGTCTCTCGATATCGGGGCCGGGGCTTCGATATTTAGACTTCGGTATGTCGATATCGGGGGGCGGTGCGTTCGGGGCGGGGTTCGCTTTGCGGCGCTCGGCCCCCCCCTTGCCCCAGGGCCCGAATTTCCTTTCGCGCTGTCTGCGGGCCCGCCCGCGCGGGCCCGCTCGAGCCAGGGCCGTCCGCGGCGCAGTGCGCGCATAGGGAAGTTTTCTTTTTTTGAGTGTGGGCCAGAGGGGCCCACGGGGGTCGGAGGATTACGTGAAAGTCCAGATAATGAGGATGATGATGGCAACTTCGACGATAATGATGCTACTGATGGTGGCGATGATGATGGTGATGGTGGTGATGGTTTTGGATACGCGGATCATGTTAATGATGGTGATGACGTTGGCGATGTTGATGATGACCATGATGACGGTGATGTTGTGGGTAATGCTAATGAGGAGAATGACGATGACAATGCTGATGATAGCACTGATGATGACGGTCATGGCAATGGCGCGCCCCGTCGAATATATACGGGGGGAGCGCGAGGAGGGCGGGGAGAGAAACCGTTGGAGGGAGGAGGATGGGGAGGCGGGCGACGACGACAAGCGTCCTTGGGAGGGCGAGGTTCGATATCTTGATTCCTAATTTGACTGCAGCCCTTCGGTCGTCAACGCGGCGATATGGGGATGTCCAGGGCCCGCCTCCGATATCGAGATATCGAGATATCGAGACTGGCCCCGCCGCCGCCCCCTGGTGCGCATCCATGACCGCCGCCGCAACCGTCGCCATCGTCCATCATTATCATCAGCATCATCGTCAACGTCGCCATCGTCATCCTCATAATCTGGATTTTCACGTGCCCCTCCGGCACCCATTGGGCCCCTCTGGCCTACATTCAGAAAGGTGGGAATTTCCTCCTGCGCGCACTGCGCCGCGGACGGCCCTCGCTCGGGCGGGCCCGCGTGGGCCCGCAGGCCGCGCGACAGGAAATTCGAGTCCTGGGATGCGGCGGGGCGGGGCGGGGCGGCGGGGGGCGAGGCGCCGCGCGTCGAGCCCCGCCCCGAACGCCCCCCCCCCCCCCCGCATGCCAAGATATTGAGATATCGAGATATCGAGTCCCCGCCGCCGATCTCGAGACATCGAGATATCGAGGCGTCGAGCCCCCGCCTGGTCCCGCCACCGATATCGAGATATCGAGATATCGAGCCCCCGCCCCCCGGTATCGAGATATCAAGATATCGAGTCCTCGCCCGACCGCGCCTCCCGATATCGGAATGTCGAGATATCAAGATATCGAGTTTTTGTTGAAACAAACGCCCTGATTTACGTGGGCGCCCGGCCCCCGCGTTGGATTTCTCGCGGTAGTATCCGGCGGGGGGCTCGAAATTCGGATTCGCGCTCCCTTCCCTTGTTGTTGGCCCCGTTGATGGGGCCCTTCCAGCCGCTTCCCGGGCATTCTTGGGGCCCTCCCAGGGCCCCTTCGGGCCGTCGACGGCGTCTCCTAGGCCGTCTTGGAGCATTAGGGGCCGAGAAACTCACGGAGTTACAATTCTTCGTATTCGAGTGGGGATCAATGGTTTCTGCCCCCCTGGAGTCATCGTGTAGCGCGCTTGGGGCTTCCTGGGGGCCTCGTGGGCGGTCTCGGGGCTATCTCGGGCGTCTTGGATCGCTCTTGGGCAGTTTTGTCGGGCCTCGCGGGCCCTCCTGGGCGCTTCTCGGTCTCTTGGGGAATCGGCGGGGCCGATCCTGTGAGCGCGCCGCAGTTCCGCTTCGCGCCTCGCGACGCGGCGGCGGTTAAATCATGCGTTTTCTTGTCCGAAATGGGGAGGCTCAGGTAAGAGAGTCCTGCCTTCCTCCTCTGCCTTTTCGAGGCATGGCATTCGGCTGGCAATAGAGTGCACGCGCTTTGTGTGTGTGTGTGTGTGTGTGTGTGTGTGTGTGTGTGTTTGTGTATGCACGCGCACTCGTGCACGACACGCATACGCTCGGTCTGGCCCACCTCCCTCCTCCCATCCGCCTCCTGTTCCTCATCCTCGTGCACAGTTGCCATTTTGGCTCAAGCCGTACACATCGGACAAGCCCCGCGGTTCGAGCCAGCTCGGCATGGTTCCCCGGTCCAGAGCTGCTGGTGGCGCGTTGCAGGTGGAGGTGGCTGCGGGAGTCGCCCCAGGTGCGTGGCAAGAGGAAGGAAGCAACGCGGCCACGCGGCTACAGCGGCTCTCGCGGGGGGGTGTCGCATCAGAGGCTCGTCAAGGAGCTGGCGACGGCCGACTGGAAGGTCAAACAAATGAACGAGCACATCGAGACGTCATTCAGCGAACCCGAGGTGGGGGCGCGGCTGGCGGCGTGCGCGCCTGCGGTAACCGCCCTGCTGGCGGGTCGTACACCACACGACCTCGATCGGCTGCGTCGCAACGTCGCGCTGCATGTGGCTGCCGGGGGCCTGGACGCCGGCACGGCGGCTCCCAGCGAGCTCAGGGCAGCGCGCAGCGGGGGCCTCGCGTGGAAGCTGGCGCCGCGTTGCGGCGGGACGCGGACGACGTCGAGCCGGACGTGGTGGAGGCCTCGGCGGTGTTTTTTGTGGAGCAGGTGGGCAGGTGAAGTCGGGCTTAGGCCCTGTTCCGCTTCGGTGCGGTATGATGTCCACGTGCGGCGCCACTGTTTTCATGAGCGTTGTCAGCGAGGATATGGGCCAGTGTGAGGTCGAGCCGGCGCTGCCGCCCTGGACGCCGAATCCGTGTTCTCCGCCTTTCATCCCCCCGAAGTGATGCACGAACAGACCTTGCGCCTCGGGATGCAAGCGCGGCGGCGTGGGCAGCCTTTCGTTCAGCGCCGCGCTGTGCTGGACGGATCGGCCAGCCGCCAGCGCCTGGAGGCGAGCGTGGCGCAGGCTCGGCTGCTCGGCGCTGCCGACGCCCTGCGGGGCGGTGCGGCGCTGGGCGCTTTCGGGCCTTCACGGGGAATAATGTCTTTCAGCTTGCGGCTGCTGCCTGTGGCGTGGACCCTGGCGGCCTCGCAGCCGCGCTGGACGGGCTCGGGCAGGCCTGACATGGCAGCGACGGTGCCTGCCGCGCCGCCGCCGCCGCCGCCGCCAACGGCTGTTAGTGGTGGGCGTAGCTTTGCGTGAGCATGGTCCTCATTACCGCCATCACGTTCGACCAGGTCGCGTGGCGCTCGCCGTCTTGCGTTCAGTCGCGTTGTTCTTCTATGGTCAGGTGGCGAGACTTGTGTGTGTGTCTGCGTCATTGTTCCGGCTCCGGTTCCTCATCATCTCGTTTCCATTCATTTTCTTGCATCCTCTCCTGCCTCTGTGCGGGTTCGGCCTGGGCTTGGCTTGTGGACGACCTCGCTCGACGGTGGGTATGCATTACGTTTTTGGTCAGTCTGGAGAGGCAGAGGAAAAAACGGCGTTGGGAAAGAACGGAGGGAGGGAGGGGGAGAGACAGTTCTCCTTGCACATCGTCTTCCGTTCCCTTCCTCCTCCTCCGTCCTTGCCGTATTCCTCTTCCTTTCTCTTCCGCCCTGGAGGCTGGAGGAGGATGGCTGCCGCCCGCAGGACGATTCAGCAGACCGTGCTGGTCCTCGGCCAGAACGTGGTTCGCCGCCCGCCCCCGCGTCCTCTCGGGAGGACGAGCAGGGAGGGGGAGGGAGGAGGGGTGTGGGGCGGGGGCTGAAGGAGCGGGGAGGAGGCACGGGCTGGGGGGGACGGGGAGGAGGGACCGACCGCCCCTGCCAACGACGCTGGCGTCCTAACGCTCGTTTTCTCCTCCTCCTCCTCCTTTTCCTCCTCCTTCTCCGCCTGTTCCTTCCCATCATCATCATCATCATCATCATCATCATCATCATCATCATCATCATCATCATCATCATCATCATCATCATCATCATCATCATCGTCATCGTCATCGTCATCGTCGTCGTCGTCGTCATCATCATCATCATCCTCACCATGATCATCGTCATCATCATCACCATCATCATCATCATCGTTATCACCACCATCATCATCACCACTAGCAGTATAATCAGCATCGTCCTCAACACGTGGGGCCCATTGGCGGCTGACCCGCCATCGAACAGCCAGCAGTGGCTATATCAATTTGCGCCATTGGGGTACTGCCGGTCCCTGTTCTTCTACCTTGGCAAACCTGTGTTCTGGCAAATACGCGTAATAGCTTCACAGGCTGAGCGTGCTCCGCCGCTTGCGCCCCCCCACTCTTTTCCGTCGCCCCTTGTGCCTAATTCGGCTGCGGTTCACCGTAGGTTGCCTGCACCGCGATTTGGATTTAAACCACTGCTGAGCAAGTGCGGGGCAGGTGTAATTCGTTCATCTTTGATGGGGGGATCGCCAGGTGGATCCGCGAGGCAGTCTCTGAGGGACGCCCCCTCAAAGCTCGTGGGGACACCAGACACAGGACCAGGCATCAGGGAGTGAGGAGGGAGGGTTGAGGAAGATGAGGATAATATATTCACGAGTAAGGAGTGGGCCGCCCCCCCGCCCTCGCTCCGCCCCGCTGTCTGTTCCTGTCTTCCGCATCTCTTGCTCTCTTTCTATCTCTCTCTCTCTTTCTCCTGCCTTGCCCCGCCCCCTCTTCGCTCCCTGCCTCGCACCTGCACCTCCCCCTTCCAGAGCACCCAAGATTTCAAGTTGTGCCGTAGCATAGCCAGCCGAGGGAAGTCGCATCAGAGACCTCTCGTTGTCGCTCTCTGTGGGCTTCCAGGGACCCGCATGTTTTACACGGGAAGCTCACCTTCAATTTTGTTAGGATCCTCCCGCCGTTCGGTTTTCTCCCGATGCTTCCTGAGCTTGGGGTCTTCATGCGCGTCATAATTATGTGGGCAAACGATTAAGACAATGCCCCAGCACCCCACCCCGTCCAGGGGGCCCCAGAATAGATGAGTGGGGCAGGCTAATAGAATTCAGCCGCCGGAAACTGTGTTTTAATCGTCTGCCCCCCTGGCGTTTTATTTTCCCGCCTTGCGGAAACTGATGTTCTATTCGTCCTCCTGCGTTCGTTTGATCACCCGCGGCCGCGGGAGGAGGATTGCGGAGAGGGGGCGCCGGAGCGCCGAAAGGGAATCCCAGCGTTGATCCAGGAAGTCCACGGAGGACCGCCGAAAGTTTATATCCGTAAGGGCTTCGCCCCCTGCCGCCGGCCCCCTCTCTCGGAGAATGGGCCATGGAAGAGCTAAGTCATGAGGCCTTGGCGCTGTCGTGAAGCAGTATCGAAACTTCATGCGAAGCCGAGTCGCAATCAGCAAAACCAACTGATCACAAGAGGGGTTACCACACCTGGCGATTGGTAAGACGTGTATGGTTTAAGGGCTTGGTTACCACACCTTGCGATGAAAGGGCCGAGGGAGTTCTCGCAGTTTGGGTTACCACGCCTTGCGATGGATGTGCGTGATGGGTTCGAATTTCAGAAATGTGGCAAATCCCCTGTGTTTTTGGACCCTGACCCCGCGGATCTGCGTGAGGGGTGGCACCGAATTTCAGAAATGTGGCAAATCCCTTGTGTTTTTGGACCCTGACCCCGCGGATCTGCGTGAGGGGTGGCACCGAATTTCAGAAATGTGGCAAATCCCATGTGTTTTTGGACCCTGACCCCGCGGATCTGCGTGAGGGGTGGCACCGAATTTCAGAAATGTGGCAAATCCCCTGTGTTTTTGGACCCTGACCCCGCGGATCTGCGTGAGGGGTGGCACCGAATTTCAGAAATGTGGCAAATCCCTGTGTTTTTGGACCCTGACCCCGCGGATCTGCGTGAGGGGTGTCGATTTCGAGCCCCCCCAGTAATTCAGACAACGCGCCCAGGGGACGCTGGAAAATCTTGTTTGGGCCTCCCCCCCCCCCTCGCGCGGTCAATCAACTAGTTACAGTAACCAGCAAGAAGTCAACTAGTTACAGTAACCAGCAAGAAGCAGAACTGTAACACTGGAAACTAGAAACTACAACTGGTACAGGAAACTGCGACTCACGCGCCTCGCAGCCTGGTGGCTCCTCAAGGGGGCCGGCGGATTAATGAGTTTTTTTTGTTTTCATCCCCGACTGAAGAACCAATCTGAGGACGGCCCAGCTGTCGTCCTCGCGGACGGCGGCTGGAGCTTGAAAATGAGGCCAACGCTGCCGCGGGAGCAGGGTGTCGGAAGAACCGAACAACTTCGGATTGAGCAACAGGTATGAGAAAAAAAAAAACTCCCCCAATCCTCTGTGTAAAAACAGCACGCGGGAGGATTTGAGCCGAGCGGAAGCTCGAACATGAGGCCAGCTTCGCAGCGGGAGCGACATTTTCACAGAGCCTGGGAAGACGAAGGGCGAACGACGGACGCCCGACGCGATCCAGCGTCGGATCGACAGGGGTGCTCGCCGGCGGTTCGGCGACAGCACCCAACCTGAGGGGCCGGCGGCCCCGCCACCAGCGGCAGCGGGTAGCGCCGCGCCGCCTTGGCGGGCTGCTGCGGCGGCCCCAGCACTGGCGGCAGCGGGAGGCCCCGCGCCGCGTTGGCGGGCTGCTCCGGCGGCCAGAGGAGAGGCACATGCGGGAGGCCCCGCGGCGCCGAGGCAGGAGGGCGCATAGGAGGAACGCCAACAGAGGCCCGGCACCGCGGCTGGCAGGAAGCAGCAGGCCGCGCCGTTTTCCTTCGGCTCGCTCGGCACTGCGGAAGGGAGGAAAAGGAGGCCCTTGACCTTCGGGCGCGCGCGGGGCGAGGCAATCGCCCACGAAACCCAGGAGGGGGCAGTCAGGGGAGAGGAAGGAAGAGGAAGGACGAGCGCCTTGAGGGGGAGGAGTCGGAGGACGGCAGGAAGGCTAAGCCGTCGTCGACTTCTCCGCCCTGCGACCTGAAGGGCCGCGGCCGCGCTGCTTCGAAGCGCGTTCCGCGCCCTCCGCGCCCGGGCCAGGTTGGAAAGGGGCTCGGGCCAGAAGGGAAGCACGAGCAGGGGAAAGGAGGGGCCCGCGGGGGCGGCGTCGGAGCGGGCGGCGCCGCCTTCGCCGAAAAGGGAGGATGGCGGAGGAGCAACTCCGCCTGCTGACCCAGCAGATGGAGCAACTGACGCAGCAGTCGGCGTCGATTGGGGCGGAGAGCCGTCAGCTGACGGCGACGGTGGCCGCGCGACAGCAACATATCGCCCAACTGCAACAGGCGGGAGGCGCCGCGCAGCAAGGCGCAGCGGCAGCAGCCCCCGTCGATTCCAATGAGTCCATCGGTCTCTGGATCGAGGCGCTCGCGGAGCAGACAAGAGCACTCTCGAGGAGGGATCGGCCAGTTCTGGTCGACGTGAAAGGAGTCGACAGGCCGTGCATTTTCACCAACGACGAGAGCAAGGTCCCAGGGTGGTGTAAGAAAGTAGAAGACTACTTGCTCGGAGTGGAGCCACAGCTAGAGCTGCGCTGGAGTGGGCGCTCGAGCAGGAGGACGAGTTCACGACAGCTGAAACCGTCTTCGCCCTGTTCCGGCACGAAAAATGTCATGGGCGATATTGCGGCATTCAATTTGCAGATCAAGTCGGCACTTTCAAACTTGACACAGGTCGAGTCGTGGACGATCGTCCAGAACTGCGACCGCAACGGCGTGGAGGCATGGCGCCGGCTGCGCGGAAGGTTCGACGCGCCGACTGGCGGACGGCGCAGGTCGCTACTGCGCGCAATCTTGTCTTCTCAGAGGGTGGGGCTGGAGGAGGTAGGGGCAGCGCTCCAGCTGCGGGAGGAAATTGTCACGTGGCACAACAAGAAGCGACCGAGGCTTGGAGAGACCTGCGCGGCGCCCAGGAGGCGCTGGCCCCAGAGGGCGCGGAGGACCACCTGCAGATGAACGCGAATCGTTTGAAGAAATATAGCGAAATGCGGGCTGAAATGGCAACTTTCTACGAAGCCCGCACAGGGGATAGCGCGTGAAGAGCGCTAGTTCTGGCGGCCCTGCGCCCGTGGACGTCGACAGCCTACAGACAGGAAGAGGCGGCGGAGACCAGCAGGGGCGACCAGGAGGAAAAGGAGACAAAGGACGAAAAAGGAGACCAGGGAGGAGAAGGGGAGGGCCAAGGAGGAGGCGAAGGAAATGATGGCGGGGGAGGGCGCGCACCCCCGCCGAAGCCCTTCGGGGGCCACTGCGACAACTGCGGAAAGTGGGGGCGCAAGAAGCAGACTGCTGGGGCAAGCCCCGGTGCGCGAGGAAATCCAAGGGCGACCGCAAAGGAGGGCCCGGCGGCCGCGACCGCGGGCATCAAGGGAGCCCGAGGCAGAGGCGCGGCCTCCCTAGAGGAAACAGGAGACGACGGACGCGAGCCAGCGACGGAACAGGCCTCCCTCGAGCTAGGTGCGTTCGACGCGCGGGCAGCAGCGCTGTCGGGCGCCCACGTGGCCGGCGTGGGCGACAAAGGGTGCGCCAAGTTCAACCTCGACACTGGCGCGGTAGTCATTGCGTTCACCAGGGGCCGGTTTGGCGGCGGCCACCCAGACAAGAACCAAAGAGGTTACGTCACCGCCAGCGGGGAACGAATCCCTGGTCGCGGAGGGGGCCGGATCGCGCGCGCGGACGAGTCCGGGCGGCGTCGCGGTATCGCCAGCCGAAAGACAGACGTGCGCAAGGTGATGGCCTC